ACTCCTGGAATGGAAGTTGATTAACTATAGCCCCCCATCCCCTCCCACTGACGGTCACTTTACATTCTGACACCCTTCCTATGTCAACATATTTACACAGTTTACTGTAAGCTGTCAAATTGAAGAGTTGTGATATGAAACCACTTAACAGAAATGTTTCCATTTTATCATTTTATATAAAAAGCTGTATTCATAATATCATATTATTCTAATTATGTTCGCTAGCAGTTAAGTGAAAATTATATAGTTGGCGGATCTTATGTACAAAAGATCTTGTTCAATTTCGAGTTTAATACCTATATTCACGACCCAGGCAGAAACATCAGGGTAAGATTTAATGTATTTTACCATTTCCTTTTAAGAATTAAATTGATAGTATTTCAAACTAAACAATATTGAAAAGATTTGTTGAATAAACCCAAGGATTCTTGATTTTGGAAGCAGTATTGATTCACAACAATACCCCTCAAAGCTTTGTGTGATCAAGTATAGCATTAAATATTCATGTTTCCTATTTTGAAAACTGATAATTTTTATTTGTGGTTTCTCTACCAAAGTGACTCATGCATTTCTTTTAAAGGGGGGCACAATGTTGCCAAGGGGGGACAAAAAAAATGTTTCCCCCCCCTTCACGAATGCTCTTGTACTCTGTTTTAAATTTATCTTTTTTATTATGTTATTATGAATTTTGGAGACAACTTTCGTTACGCAGTCAAGTAAGCTTTGAATCAATAGCTATATGCTATAATTATGCCTACAGAACAGAAAGTAAACTAGTCTCTCAGGTCTTTGAAACCTATGGAGATGACAGTACACAATCGGAAACTGATGAAAATGAGTCTGGTCTGGAGTCAGGTATTCCAGTGGATTTGCGTGGTTTCTTGAAGTATGCAGGGTGTAATGTTGATGCTTACACTATCACTGATAGAAAGAAGAAAAACGATTTTCTAGAAAAAATCTCAGAAAAAAATCAAGGTTACATCTGAAACTGTAGGGGAAGCCACTGGCACTGATCGAATTTTAAGATCTACTGCAATGAAAAGACTCATCTAGTTTTGAAAAAAATCTGGACACAGGCAAAGATTGCAATAAGGACAACACAGGATTGGTAACCATGAATTCCAATGAATTAAATACTGTGAGCTTTATCTAAAGGAATACAGAAATACAGATGATAAATTTTTATTTTACGATAATATGGTTGGATTTTTGTGTCTTTGATCTTAAATTGCAATGTTTTTTTTCAAATTGATTTTAGAAACAAAAATTCAATCATAATTAAGTGTAATCTTGAACGTTTAAAGCTTTGGGACTGTGATCAATCCCAGTTAACATCTGAGGCTAAACTAGGAATTTAGAAAATTATTTATAATTAAAGGGACTGTAGAGTGTAGACTCTCTTAATACATATTGAATTCTTAAAACAATGTTTTATGTCTCTGCTGCATACCTACAAATTATATTTAATCTTCTAAAGGCATTTCTATGTTTAATAATATTACAAAAGGAGTAGATGCTCTGCATATCAAGTTAACTTAATAGAATAGTCTAATCAGTTACTGCGTATGAGATGGGCATCCTTTACTGCTTAGTTTTTATCATTTATTTTTTTACTTTTCATCAGGCTCTGCTATATGAGCGCTGCGATTTAAAGGTTTTCAGCTCTCCAGCAAAATCTAGGAGAATTTGCCAAATACTTTTTAAAAATTAAAGCTTGCAACAATTATGCCTTAAAGTGCTTAAATGTTTAGGGCTTGAGTAATATCGGTAAAATCAAAGCCCAAGGCATTCAAAGTCGACCCTGTTTTAAAAATGGTTGAGATTTATTATATCGGATAAAGATTAAATTAACAAAATACCAAGACCAAGCATTGATTTGGATAATCACAATCTCAAGAAAATGTGTCTCCAACGCCAATGCGCATTTAACATTCATTCTTGAATTATATTTTTAAACCCCCCACCCCACTTATTTTTCAGCAAAAATCGTTCTCTAGGGCAGACCCCAAACGTATACTATTTAATCTAACAGAATTCACAGTTTAAAATATCTAAGGTTTACGATATTGATCCGGTTACAAAGAACAGGGATTAGAAAATCAGAGTTTGTGACATAGCTCAATTCTTAAGTCTTAAAAATCATATAACCGTTCACTTAAACCCTTTATCTTTCAATATACGACGAAAAACACTAATTTTTTTTGTAATTTTATTTTGTATTTTCATAAATTTGTACTGCAGGCAGCAGTACAAATATATCAGGAGTTGCTTCAATATCCTATCAAAAAAAAATCCTCATCTGTGTAGATGCACTAACTCTTATTTGTTTCTTTAAAGTTAAAATTAGTATATAACTCACAAAAAGCATATTTAAGTGCATAAAATTTTGCACGAAGTGCTCCTAAATAGCTTAATTTGAGCACAACTACGACGGGGGTACTATCGACACACATATTGAAATCCATTTCTAAAAACCAAAGATATAAAATTAGGGTGATTAAATTCTTAATTTTATTTTGCCCATTTTGATCCCCCTCCCATCTTTTGAAAACCTGATTGAACACTACTCAAATACGAATAGATTACGGTAAGAATGTTTCAGTTTTCTTCAGAAAAAGACAATATTGTATAAAAATTCCAGGGGAGAAAACTAAATATTTCAGATTTTTAGAAAATGCTAATCTGAATTGTTCAGAAAAATGTTTAAAGGTATAAATATAATTGAAAGAAGTTAAATACTTTTCACAAACTCTAATTCTCTATTTCTTAAATCTTTGCAAAAAAATTTTTAATTTGAATATCAAAGCTGTCAACAAACATTATCTAAAATGTGTTCACAATTTTTGTGGGAATTTTAATTTTTAATATTTGTCAAACAAACACAAAACAGTGAAATTGTTGACGGCGTAATTCTTTCTTATGAAATGTAACAATTGAACTGATTTATTCTTTACAATATACAGTGAAAACCAGAAAACCGTAGAATAGAAAGACGACATTACTAATTAATGTGTATTTTATTTAATTTTGAGAGATGTTTTATCCCGCATTTTTACTCACATGATCTTGGGTATAAAAAGGTTCTTGTTCCGAGGCAAATAAGTAACATATTTTATACCGGCAAAGCAGGCTTCCCTCTTTATTTTTAAACAAAGAAAAAAGTAAAAATCCCGACCTAAAAACATTTTGTCCCGCATAATTACACAAGATATTATAGATATTATGTTTTTACAAGAAAATGGTTTTACTAGTAACTTATCAAACAACTTATTGAGTGAAATGGATCTGTATACACTGCACAATTGTGTGTCATGTTCATTGGACTGTTTAAAGTCTTAACTTGAGTCTAAAAATTGTCTTCATATATTCAAGAGTTTTCTGGTTCTCACTCTAAATATATATTTAAAAAAAATTATAATTCTAAAAGTTAAATTTGAAGAAAATTTTAAAATTTAGGTCGAGGTTTAATCTTCTGTTTACTCTTGTGTCTTCAGGAATCAGTTTTAAGCAAATATAAAATATAAAAATAAAAAAACAAATATCTGTAAAAATAAATGAATGAATTTTACTAACGATTACAAGCATGCCGTGAGAAAATGGTTTTATTATGAGAACCATATACAAGAAATTCTCTCTTTAAAAGTACAAATTTTCTTAATTGTAAATCCTTGTTTCTATATGTGTCTTGTACCCTGTATCCTTGTATCCTTGTATCCTTGTATCCTTGTATCCTTGTATCCTTGTATCCTTGAATCCTTGAATCCTTGTATCCTTGTATCCTTGTATCCTTGTATCCTAGTATATCCTAGTATCCTTGTAACCTTGAATCCTTGTATCCTTGTATCCTTGTATCCTTGTATCCTTGTATCCTTGTATCCTTGTATCCTTGTATCCTAGTATACTTGTATCCTTGTATCCTTGTATCCTTGTATCCTTGTATCCTTGTATCCTTGTATCCTTGTATCCTTGTACCCTTGTATCCTTGTATCCTTGTATCCTTGTATACTTGAATCTTAAAATAAAATGGATTGAAATTGATTGTGTAAAGTTAACATGTTGTATATCAAGACAAAACTTAAATCGTAAACAGAAAAAAAACAGGTGAAATAATAAGAAATCTATTCTAATTTATATGAAGATATTCAGTGAAATATAAAATATACAGAAAACTGTGGAATAGGAAGACGACATTGTAGGAACACTTGTGTATTTTATGAACTACATTGCAAAAAGTGTTAATAGTAACTTAATTCTCTTATCAAGTTGGTAATGTCAGTTTACACTAAACAATTGCTGTGTCGCATGATCATTGGATTATTTAAAGTCATATCTTGAGTCTATAAGTAATCTTTCTGTTCCAGAGTTTTCTGGTTATCACTGCAGTTTTATTTTAAATGTTTCTTTCCAAATATAGCGTAGTGTAAATTTAATGTTTTTATTTCAAATAATTAGAATTATAAATTTTATTTTCAAAAACTTCTGATTAAAATAATCGTCTTTGGTTATTTATTTCATGTTCAAAAAAATCTAGTTATTTCATTAATAACTTTTATATTTTTGATAAAAAATATTATCATGCATCATAGAACAAAATTAATGAATAGCGAGAAGAAGTTCAACTAAGTAGTTTAAATTATACCCCTTCTCTTATTCGCTGGTTCAATTGTTCACGCTTATAAATGCTTTAACTTAGTCTACGTGGTTCAAATACTTCGCTTTTCATTAAATTGTGTCCCAGGGCAATGATGTCGTATTTATATTCATTAAATTTGGTCCCAGGGCAATGATGTCGTATTTATATTCATTAAATTGTGTCCCAGGGCAATGATGTCGTATTCATATTCATTAAATTGTGTCCCAGGGCCCTGATGTGGTATTTATATTATTTAGGAATAGGAATGAGCCTACGAACATAATATTACTAATAGCTGATGATTTGGGTTGGAATCATGTTTCATGGCACAATTCAGATATACTGACTCCTAGAATGGAGGTAAATTAACTATACATATACTCCTAGAATGGAGGTAAATTAACTATACATATACTCCTAGAATGGAGGTAAATTAACTATACAGTATACTCCTAGAATGGAAGTTGATTAACTATACATATACTCCTAGAATGGAGGTTAAGTACCTAAACATACTCCTTAAATGGAGGTAGATTAACTATACATATACTCCTAGAGTTGAGGTAGCGTACCTATACATAATTCCAGAATGGAGGTACAGTAGATGAATATACTCCTAGGATGGTAGTAGAGTACCTAAACATACTCCTAGAATGGAGGTAGATTAACTATACATATACTCCTAGAATGGAGGTAGATTAATTATACATATACTCCTAAAATGGAGTTAGATTAATTATACATATACTCCTAGAATTGAGATTAAGTACCTAAACATACTCCTAGAATGGAGGTAGAGTAAATAAACACACTCCTAGAATAGAGGAGAGTAGATAAACATAATACTAGAATGGAGGTAGAGTAAATAAACATACTCCTAGAATGGAGGTAGAGTACCTAAACATGATTCCAGAATGGAGGTAGAGTAGATAAACATACTCCTAGGATGGTGGTAGAGTACCTAAACATACTCCTAGAATAGAGGTAGAGTAAATAAACATACTCCTAGAATAGAGGAGAGCAGATAAACACAATACTAGAATAGAGGAGAGTAGATAAGCATACTACTAGAATGGATTTAGAGCAGAAAAACTCCTAGAATGGTGGTAGAGTAGCTAAACATTCTCCTAGTATGGAGGTAGAATAAATTGATATACTCTTAGAATGGAGGTACAGTAAATAAACATACTCCTAGAATGGAGGTAGAGTAAATAAACATACTCCTAGGATAGAGGAGAGTAGATAAACATACTCCTAGAATAGAGGAGAGTAGATAAACATACTACTAGAATGGAGGTAGTGTAGATAAACTACTTGAGTAGAGGTAATGTAGATAAACATACTCCTAGGATGGAGGTAGATTACCTGAACATACTCATAGAATGGAGGTGGAGTAGATAAACATACTCCTAGAATAGAGGTAATGTAGCTAAACATACTCATAGAATAAAGAGAGAGTAGCTAAACATACTTCTAAAATGGAGATACAGTAACTTTTGAAAATGGTTACGACCAAAATTGTATTATTATTTTTTCAACAGATTTCAAATTTCAATAAAACCCAAAGAAGTGATGTCAACTTTGATGTTGTAGACATTTAATATTTCAAACTAATAGTTCTACTAGATCTTTAAGACAAAGTTGAAAGTGTCAACAGTTTTCACCATCAGGTCGCAAAATTTCAGTATGAAACTATAAAAGTCCTATGTTCACACTAAATGTATATTTCAGGAAATGTCAAGTGAAGGTATAAGACTGGAGAAGTCCTATGTTCACACTAAATGTATATTTCAGTAAATGTAAAGTGAAGAAAAGTCCTATGTTCACACTAAATGTATATTTCAGGAAATGTCAAGTGAAGGTATAAGACTGGAGAAGTCCTATGTTCACACTAAATGTATATTTCAGTAAATGTAAAGTGAAGATGTAAGACTGGAAAAGTCCTATGTTCACACTAAATGTATATTTCAGGAAATGTCAAGTGAAGATATAAGACTAGAGAAGTCCTATGTTCACACTAAATGTATATTTCAGGAAATGTAAAGTGAAGGTATAAGACTGGAAAGTCCTATGTTCACACTAAATGTATATTTCAGGAAATGTCAAGTGAAGGTATAAGGATGGAGAAGTCCTATGTTCACACTAAATGTATATTTCAGGAAATGTCAAGTGAAGGTATAAGGATGGAGAAGTCCTATGTTCACACTAAATGTAGTCCTTCAAGAGCAGCATTAATGACCGGCAGATATGCTTGGAGGTAAATTTATCTTTAAATTTAAAAAAAAATTAATTATGCTTTCCATTTGGATAAAAGTAAATTTGTGACTAGGGTTCAAGATTGTAAATAAAGAAATGTGTGTAAAAAATGCAAAGACGACTTTTCTTTTATATCCTTGTTTGTAGGTTAGGAGCCCAGCGAGGGGCTTTTGAACGTTATCAAGCTGTTGGACTTAACATATCTATCAAGGAACAGTTTTTATTCAATTAATTCATAAGAAAAGGGATTGTTTAAATATTTTGGTCTGATGTGGAAGGTGAAAATAATAAAAAAGCCTCTTTTAGCGAACAGCTAAAATAAATATTTTTTCTCAATTTTTTTAATTGAACATTTGTTTAGATTATACTTTCAAAATCTTTGAATTTTATTGTTTGAAGATTTTACCAGAATATCTAAAAGAGGGAGGTTATGCAACACATTTGGTAAGAACAATTTCTCATCTGAAATGGACATTTAATCTTTTGTCTAAGCAAAAATGTCGAAGGTCTAAGTTTTTTTTCTGAAATTGCTAATATTGGATTGTCGGTTATCATAACAGTGACTTGAGGATTTTGGAGTAGAGATTTTTAATCTTTTCTTGATGGAAAAAACAAGGATATCTTTCTCATTATTGTTCCGTTGTGAATCAGACATACAACTTTGTAAGTACACCATTGGGTTGCAAAGGGATCAGAAAATTAAAGTGTGTGGCAAAGAACCGATTTCTTTATAAGATTTTTATTGGGTCATATCAAATAAGAATTTCTCAAAATATACGATTGGTTTGACCATCTACAACCTTTTTGGGTAGGTTTAACACATCCCATGATTTCTTCCAACTTGTTTCTCAAGCTTCTTGTGTTCTTAGGTCGGAAAATGGCATCTTGGATACTGCAATACAGCTTACTTACCTAACCAGAGAGGATTTGATACATTCTTCGGATCAAGGTATATAATCATATGACTGAGTACTATGCAAAGCACAAACTTATTTTAATAAAATAAAATGACAAAGGTTTCTTTCTTATTCAGAAAAGTTGATTTTGAGTCATATACAGATGAACAGCGAGGATATGATTTCAGAGATAATGAAAAGGCAAGATTAATTTGAATTTTGGTTTATTAAAACTGTGATTGCCTGAAAAAAATGCTAACAATCATGTTTGCTAATTTGTTTTTTTATTAATTTTATATTTTTAAGGTTTCATATGAAGGTTTAGGGGAGTTTTCTACAGATCTTTTTTCAAGGTATTTCAAATTGATTTAAACATTTTTCACTTTTAGATTCAAAATTTCGATAAAAGAAGGTATAGTTGCAAACAACATTCACCCCCTCACCTCAAAAATACAAAAACTTTCAGTACTGGAAATTTTGAAATCAATTTGTGTAAAAACTGATTTATGTAATAACATGACTAATGGTACAAATAACTGTAAAATATTGTAAAGATAAGAAACTTTTTTTTTGTTTTTTTTTCACTAATTTTTGTTTTCCCTTAAAATTTGGTTTTCGAGCACAAAATTGACAACAAAGTAAAGAGAAAAAAGCCCAAAAACTTTGACATAAAACCTTGCTTGCTGGATCAAACAATTGAACAACAACTTTTCAACAATTTTAATCTATTTACCAGGAAAGCTGTGAATATAATAGAGACACATAACAAATCCCAACCATTATTTCTGTATGTTCCTTTTCAGGTGAAAAAAATAAAATTCTAAAAATACCGTCAAACAATTTTGTTGATTGATTTGAAATAATTCATGAAATGGTATCTTATTAGTTTTGAATATAAATTAAAACTAGCAAAGAGCAATTTTCACTGGGATTGTAAGCGTTAATTTCAAGTGAGCCTCCATAAATAGAAAGTGATTCCCAATTCACAACGGTACCCTTAATACCTTAGTCTGATCAAGTTTAAATTAGACAATAGACAACAGTGTAGAACTCAAAAGACAGAAGATGCTTGGAAAAAAGATAATAAGAAGCTGGACAGTAAAATCTACCAGGGAAGGAACTCGAGGGGTATTTGTTCCCCAAACTAATGATCCCGATTAACTGCGGCTGCGGAACATTCATCACATAAACCGTTCCCCAAAATCGATAATAATGAAAATCTCTTTATTTCCTTGAAAAAATACATTTAATTAATACGGTTACATATTGTGAAATTAATGTTTATAATGAAAAAAGTGCTTACGATCTATTATCCGGAAGACGGGGGCAAATGGAATATAAACAGTACTGAAATGACGTTTTTGACTTCTGAAATAAAGTGGCAATTGATTTTAAATGTAAATCACTGTTTTTTATAAATATTATTCTTTTGTTTAACTTTTTGAACTGTATCACTGCACGTGAAGATGTTTATACTATCTGAGAGGTTAAGTTTGGTTTGGTCTGGCTCCGAGAGAAAATCTAACTCAAAGACGACTTTACAACGGAGAACTCAATGTTTAGGGTTAACAAATAGACATCCGTGTTTAAAAATTGTAAAACTGATTATTTTCAACTGTGGTTTCTCTAAAAAGAGACTTTTGCATTTCTACTGCAGGCAAATATAGAGAAATTATCAGATAAAACACTCTAAAAAAATGACAATATCATCCACATTATTGATCAGAAAAAAGATTAAAGGGTACCGAGATGAATCAGACATTGCGATCTTTACATAGAGTCCCTTTAAGAAGTGCTTCTGGTAAGGTCGATATTAAGAAGAACATTTTCTAATATTTCAGTTTATTACTTGTTTAGGCTCCTCATGGACCAATTCAAACTCCACCACAAAAATACAGGTAATATACAGGTTGGGGAAGGGGGGGATATTTTTATGCCTGATTTTAGCTTTAAATTAACATTCCAATTTTTAAGACATGTTTACATTAATCTAAATTATTTATTTGTCGTCCATCATGAATTTAGAAAATAAATTAATGTTTGGCGTTTTCTTTTTTAAATATTAAATGTAAATAAATGAATATAAAATATAACAAAAAAGATGCCTTTTGATTAAAGAACAAGATCACATAATGGGACAGTAAGCATAAGTTCAAGTGACCCTCCATGCAGAAGGATGGCAATGCCTGATTCAGAATGGTTGCAGAATAAATTAGAAATCAATAATAATAATTTTAAAAACTGATTATTTTCAATAATGATAGAATTAAATACTTTTTAATCTAAAATCACGAAAATATCTTTAACATTATTGATCAGATCCCTACTACAGTCCCTTAATTCCCATAGTTTTGTCTACCTCCCATAATAAAAAATTGATTAGATCTATGTATGATGGGAAGCGTCTTAGAAACAACATAGATCTGGATATGGCCGCCACTATAACAGTAAGCTTCATGAAAAATAACAAATAAAAAAGATTGAAAATTTAAATATGTTTTTCTACGAAAATAAGTCGGGGGTAGGGATGGGACCAACTTTTTCGGAACAGAAACCGTTTTCGAAGTTGCCCTTTTATATTTTACTGAAATTTTATTTTTCACTATGACACCCTAGAAAAGTGACTTCTTTAATGGAATAAGGGGAGGGGGGGGGGAGGGTTCTAAATAAAACTCTCCGATGAAGGGTGTCTCTGACAAAGATCATTTTGAAAATGGTTCTTATTCAGGCATTAGATACTGCAGTTGGAGAGATATATGATGCTTTGAAGAGAACTGGACTCTATCAAAATTCAGGAAACAAATATTTTTTATCTAACTAACAGAAAGAAAAGAATAAATCACACAAACTCTAATTTTCAAATCCCCATATTTTTGCAACCTTATGGTGTAATTAAAGTTATTGAAATGCTTAGCTTGATATATCAAGTGTCAACGACAGATCTGGTTATAAAAATATAGGGATAAAAAAATTCAAATTTGTGGCAAGTATTCAGTTTCTTGTGAGGTCAAACCCGTTTTTTTTTGTAAAAGCTTAAAAAAACGGAATGCACAAATTGAAATACATATTTCTGATGAAGAAATAAAATATTAATTGTGTCCAGTTATAATCTTTACTACTGACAACGGCGGAGCAGTCACAGAGAATTCAAACTTACCTCTAAAAGGTAATTTTTCATTATATATGTAACCCGAGCTACATGGAATTTAACCAACAATTTAAGCGACATTTGACATTTAATGAATCTTGTACCATTACAGTAAAGAAAGCATTTCTAAATTTCGAACATTTGGTTCGATATTATGAACATAATCTTAAAGATATCTTGCAAATTTTTATTATTATTTTGGTCATGACAAAAAATGGTATTAGGAATGACTTTACGGCTTGAAACTGCCCTCATTCAATATTTTTAAGATAAAGTATATTATATACTGCTCTAGCTTCCTAGAACAGGAATATTCAGAGCTCCGGCTTTGATAGCGCTGTAATGATTTTATGATTTCTATTTAAGGGACCAAAGAGCAGTTGTATGAAGGAGGAGTGAAGGGGGTCGGGTTCGTGAACAGTCCTTTGCTTAGGAAATCAGGAATATCTAGTGATAGGTATTAAAGAAATTTTATATTATTTTAATTCAATTCTTTTTTTATTTTCTGAAAACTTACTAAAATCTGGAAATTTCTAGTCCTATATCTTTGCAACCTTTGATATTTTAAGTTAGACTATTTGATCTAACAGAATTCGTAGTAATAATAGAAATTTCAAAAGTTTACGAAATCAGACCTGAAATATTTAAACTCAGTAAACTAGAGATTGAGGCAAGTAATCATTTATTTTACTCAGAAAATTTTCAAACTACCTTTTATATAGACTCCTGTTTTGAATTACTCTTTATATCGATTGCCGGCGAAAAAATATTGCAATGTTAAAGTATTTTTTAAGGTTAATGTTTATAACAGACTGGTTTTCAACAATTCTTAATCTCGCCTCGTTAGGTCACAAGGTAAAGCAATAAACATTTTAATTACATCAAAAAAATCATCGAAAAAATAAATATGCACAGCAAAAATTGAATTGTATCTGTAAAATATAAAATGTTCTCAAAAGTCTTTCTTGATATGCTTCAAAATAATAGATATAAAAATTAATTATATAAATTGGTATTACCATAGTTTATTCTTACCTTTCCGTTTTCAATTATATTATTTTGATAGTCATTCATAACAGTTTTATCATTTTCTATAAAAAAATCAAAGAAGCAAACGGTACAAGTCCTGCCAATCAGAAGAGAGCTTGGTTACTATAACTGTCATCATTTCTTAATTAAATTCAATTTTTTTTCTATTTAAAATAAAATTTCATCTTTTAAACTTTTTTTTGCAATATCAAACTCACCGAAAATTAAATACTACGAACTTTTTATTAGAAATTTTGAACTAACATAGTCCTGCGGATACTGATTCTATTGATAGAAATTACTAACATAATGATAGAGATTTAAACTTTGATAGAAATCTCTAACATTTCAGATTCCCGAGGATACAGATTCTATTGATATTTGGCCCACTATCTCCAGACAGAATAAATCCCCGAGAGATAGAATAATATTAAACATTGATCAGGTCTTTTTAGAATATATATATATTTAAATACTAAACATTGATCAGGTCTCTTTAGAATATATATATATTTAAATAGAATAATATTAAACATTGATCAGGTCTCTTTAGAATATATATATATTTAAATATTAAACATTGATCAGGTCTCTTTAGAATATATATATATTTAAATAGAATAATATTAAACATTGATCAGGTCTCTTTAGAATATATATATATTCAAATAGAATAATATTAAACATAGATAAGGTCTCTTCAGAATATAAATATTTAAAATCAGGAAATAAGAAAATTAATCACAGCTTGTGATCCATAAAGGTGTGGCATAGGTAGATGACATTTAATCAATCTTATGTGTATTTGATGTTGTAATTAAGAAGATAGTTTTACCAGTATAACTTGAAAAAATCAACTATTTTAGTAAAGTGGGTCTGTGTACATTGCACAATTTCTGTTATTCATGTTCATTAAATTAGTTAAAATTTTAACTGAAGTCTAACAGTCATCTTTCGTGTTTAGGGCCAACTGTAGAAAAAATGGTCAAAAAAAAATTAAGCTAGGATCAGTAACATTTTGCCTAGTCCAATTTCGCCTAGTACTCATTCGCCTAGTACTCATTCGCCTAGTACTCATTCGCCTAGTACTCATTCGGCTAGTACTCATTCGGCTAGAACTCATTCCTCTAGCACTCATTCGCCTAGTACTCATTCAGCTAGAACTTATTCGCCTAGCACTCATTCGCCTAGTACTCATTCGCCTAGTACTCATTCACTTAGTACTCATTCACTTAGTACTTATTCGCCAAGTACACATTCGCCAAGTACACATTTTCCTGTATAACATTTTGCCTAAATAACAATTTTCTTGTATAACATTTTGCCTATATAACAGTTTTCCTGTATAACTTTTTGTCTTAATAACAATTTTCCTGTATAACATTTTGCCTTAATAACAATTTTCCTGTATAACACTTTGTCTAAATAACATTTTCCTGTCTAATATTTTTCCTTAATAAAAATTTTCCTGTATAACATTTTGCCCAAATAACAGTTTGCCTGTATAACATTTTTCTTATATAATAGTTTTCCTGAATAACATTTTGCTTATATAACTGTTTAGGATAATGTATTATTATACCTAGTTATATTTTAAAGTGACTATTTAGGATAATGTTTAGTTACACCTAGTTATATTTTAAAGTGACTGTTTAGGATAATGTATACCTAGGTATATTTTAAAGTGACTGTTTAGGATAACCGTGAAGGATTATGGTCTGCTGCAATTATGGATGGAAAATATAAACTAATCTGGGGGCAGGATTATCTACTCAAACAGAAGGTAATCTTACTTATGTTCATGTTCATTTAAGGGAGTGTATACTTATGTTCATGTTCATCAAAGGGAGTGTATACTTATGTTCATGTTCATTAAAGGGAGTGTATACTTATGTTCATGTTTTATATTTTATAATATTTTATTTTATTAGAAAACGTTTTAACTGATTTGGAAAAATGTGATCGAGTGGTCCGCGGCATTCTTAGATAGTTGCGCAAGCGACAAGAGAAATAATCAAATTCAAAACAAATTTATTAAAAAATATTTTAAAATATAAACTATATACAAATGTGGCGAAAGATAATCGACGACTGTAGGTTGTAATATCTGAATGGTTTGTTTGAAATTAAATTGATTTTTTTACGGTCTAAGTCGTATATTGAACTTTTCTGAATTTGTATGGTATGATTTAGATGCCACAAGACAGTTGTAAGTTTGAACTATACAACCTGAAAAAGGATCCACTTGAAACCACCAATTTGGTAAGTTTTTTTTTTACAAAGTGTAAATTACATTTACAGCTTAAAGATTTTTCCCTCATTCTGGTATTGGGACATTTCACAGAAAGACATTTCACAGATCAAAATCATAAATAGGACATTTGATTTGTAAATTCAACCTCAGCTAATTTAATTTAACAGTATTTTTGGGTTGTAAAAGTATAGGGATTTTGAAATTTAATCAGAGTTTGTCGTAAAAACTCAATTTCTTTTCATATTTTTAAAATTTAAAATTTTTGAGCAGGGACAGTTTTACAAATTCCAAAAAAATGTTTTTTCCTATTTATTAAACTATATATAACAATAAAGAAATGATTCTCTATATGTCCATGTAAAAAATATTTCAAATCTTTTCAAGAATAAGAAATAAACTACATTTATTATCAGTGTTCCAGAATAAAGTTTTTTTGATTGCAAAATTTTGCTTAAGACTTTTGTTATTCATATATCTACAGTTATGGCACTAGCAACGCTAAACTCTCAGCAGTCTTTTGCAACTAAAATAAAATGTCGACAATTGTTCCACTGATATTATGGTTACCACTGAATCCCCTCCTGTTTAGGCTGCTGGTGGAAAGATGAAGAACAAGGTTGAAGAGCTGAAGAATATCCTAATGGAAGAATATAAAACTAGATTAGTACCTGCTGATTATCCTTTCCCAACTAGTGCTGGATTTCCAGTCAACTGGGATGGGATACTTTCTCCAGGCTGGTGCTCTGCTAAGGTGTAATCACTCTGGTTCATTGAAGTATCAGACTGACATCTGATACTATCTCCAGGGTTGGTTTCCGCTAATATTATCACTCCGGCTCATTTGAAGTACTGGGCAAACCTCTAATACTTTATTTGGGATGGTAATCTGCTAATCTACCACAATCTCAAATTTTCCCTATATATTTGGAACCTGATGTGTACACCTTTGATGTTTCAAATTTAGATTATTTGATCTAATAGAATTCATCGTTTGAAATATCCAAGGTCTACGACATTGAGTGGCAAAGAATAGGGATTAGATAATCTGAGTTTGTGGCAAAGACACAATTCTTTTATGACAAAACCTCTTTAATTAGATCTGACCATTTACAGACTGATTGAACAAAATTGCATAGCCTGTGATAAACAAATGAACTATTCTATTTCAAGAACGGGTTAATTTTCGCAGTGGTTATAAAATAATGTCAAGGTTTTTATCTTGATATATTTACCTAAATACCTTTCATGGACGTTATATCAACGTCAAACAAAGTTGCAATAGATGCAACTATTAAACGATTTTATGCTTCTTAGACAACTGAAATAAGAGCAATTTTAAGGTAATAAATAACAATAAATTATTATCTTTAAAATCCCTTTTACACAGGCAATAATAAATTTTAAAGATTTCAAGTTAAAAAATCAAATTGTTAATTAAAAAACAGCATTTATTGTACATGTGCATTATTGTATTTCATGTTTAATAAATGAGTAATAAATCAACCTTACCTAAATCCTATTAATTATTTATTTTCCAAAAATAATTTAAAAAATTTAACTCATGTTAAAAATATAGCAGTAAACCCCATATTTGAACATACCTATATATATACATATATATTACATGATAAAGTACCTGTACCCTATATATATATATATTACATGATACAGTACCTGTACCCTATATATATATATTACATGATACAGTACCTGTACCCTATATATATATACATTACATGATACAGTACCTGTACCCTATATATATATATATTACATGATACAGTACCTGTACCCTATATATAATTACATGATACAGTACCTGTACCCTATATATATATATATATTACATGATACAGTACCTGTACCCTAATTACGTCTGTGGATTTCTGAGAAAAGCTATCAGTCTTTATCATTAACATGTATTACGATTTAACATGTACCTTAAAACTCAAAATATAGATTATTTGAACATGAATTGTTGCTTCATTACGTTTAGACACATATTATTTCTCGATTAGAGAAGTAGAGGGATAGCTGGAGTTGTATCTCGTAAGATAGATACAGACTAAAAGATTACATTTAGCGTCGTATCTGGATTGATATAGACTTGAGTATTATTGTAGAACATTGTATTTGTACAATTAAAACATAAAGATTTTGATCAAAATTAAAATACATAAATATATTTAAAATATGAAATGTCAAGTTAATACTTTAGAGAGTGAATTGTAAATATTTTGTATAAATACTAGTGAGAAAATAGTGCTGAATACTTTCATTGAAAGAGATTTAATCCTCATTAAAATAAATGTGCAAAACCCTGTTGTGAATTATATTACATTCTGCAGGTGGCCAAATAATTCATTACATTACATAGGTTAAGCCACCTTTGAACTACAAGATATTTTTTCTCGTAAAACCAGTTAATTCACTGTAACAGATAAGAACATTAATATTCCTGGGATTTACAAGATGTGGTGTACTTGTTTAATTGTATACAGTGGTCGGCGCTTATATCAATACAATGAAGACAACTTTTTTTTAAATTACAAGTTTACAAGTAATTAAAGAGAAGCTATTTTAATTGAAAGCTTCTCTTGAGTTCTATGTTTATGTATATTAATGCTGTTTAACAGCCTGATATAAAAAATCAGTTTGCGACATAAAATTTACATTTTTTCGTTAAGACCAGTTTTTTGAGTAAATATTTCACTTGACTAAAAATCACATTGTATTAATGAAGGAGAGGGGTTGATTCAGTTGGTTGATTATCTCTACTGGGTTCTGTTGACTGACTAGCTTTGGTTGATTCAGTTTCCGGGTCGGAATGAGTAGATGACATATCGTCTTCAGGTGATAAAAGAGAAGTGCTGTCGTGTTTTTCAAGTCTAAAAATAAGGTTTATAATGCAAATGTCAATACCTTTATCTTTGCAACTTGATGGCGTAAAGCTTTGAGATTTCAAACTTAGACGATTTGATCTAACAGAATAAATAGTTTGAAATATCAAAGGTCTATGAAATTAGGTTACAAAAAAGGGGATCAGAGTTTGTGACAATAAGTAAATTCTTTTTTACATCTTTTCTATAATTTCTTTTTCAATAAAAGTTTTATAACTTTTCTTGCATCTCTACTTTTACTTAAGATCTTTATATTCTAATATTCAAAAGTCAGCACCAAAGTCTGAAGTCTTGTATGTAATACATTTTTGTATATACGTTTATAGTATTTACATGTACAAAATTAGTGTTTATAATATATACCAAGGTTGTATATAAGGTTATATACTCATGGATCCGCTCCAATGTACGGAATATGTCGTCTCCTAAGATAGATAGACCCAATATTATGTCACTGATTGTAGAGGCGAGAGTGACGTCATATTGGATATCTATCTTAGTAGACGACATTTTCCATACATTGGAGCGCATCCAGAGTATTTAACCTTTTAGTCTATAACCTTGGTATATACCTGTACATAATTATGAATATTAAGGAACTCAAAATTCCCAAACCAGCTCTGTCATTTTAAATATTCAATTCTTATTACCTTTTAATTACTAATGTCTATTTTTTAAACTAGTAAATAATGTAAAGACTATGCAACCTTTAGTTCGTCAAGAAAGTCCCATACTTTGTGGGTACACCTGTAGTGAAAAAGATGGGTTAGAACTATGAATGAATATATTCCTAAAGTAGAAGACTGCGCTAGGGAAGGTGTTTAGAGATGAGTTGTAGATAAAGGTGGAGAGAGGGGTGATGAGGAGCAGGACAATGTTCTCCATAGAGCCCATTAAACTGTACACCTCACCCAGTTCATCCTAAAGATAAGGAACTACACTATACACACAGATATATCAAGATTTTCACAAAAACTCCTTTAAAACCAAAGCTATAGAAACGCACTGTAAAATCATAATAGTTACAAATGTAGTATATTTGGAGTCATTGGTCATCATGGTTATAACTAATGGCAAAAAGTCCGTTTGGTCTCAATAGTCTCATGCACATTATTATAATTGTGTAGATTGTATCTAAGTGAATATCATTATCTAAAGGCTCAAGATAAAGAAACCATAATAATATAGTAATATAGTAACATGTCAGTTTAAGAAGAATATAGGAAATAGAAAAAAGTCAAGAAATTTGGATTCATAAAGAACTTGTTTGGAAACCTTGGATCTAAAAACACTGGGGAACTTGTTTGGAAAGCTTGGATCTTAAAACATTGGTGTTCCAACTGGAGAACTTGTTTGAAAAGCTTGGATCTAAAAACACTGGTGTTCTACCTGTGAAACTTGTTTGGAAAGCTTGGATCTAAAAACACTGGTGTTCTACCTGTGGAACTTGTTTGGAAAGCTTGGATCTAAAAACACTGCTGGCGAAACAAGTGAAAGCTCCAGCAATAACTCCAACAATAAACACAGTGTCAGTTCTATAAAAAAACTACTAAGATTTAAAAATTAAAAAGTTCAATAAATGTTAAAACATCATTATTAAATAATAAATACTTTATAACTTCAGCTTATACTAAATAGCATTTCACACAAGGTGTTTGCTGGATATATTTTATCTATTTGGTGAATTTTTCCAATCCGTTTCAAGAATTTTTTATTTTCAACAACAATGGTGGCCAAAAAGTACCTCAGTAGTTATCAATTGTTTAACAATCTACCTGGCTGCACCAATAAATATTTGACCGGCAGCTAAAGAACAGCAGGCGACCCAGCCCAGTAGAAGATCAGGTATCTCCAAATAGTAGCTTAGTACAGGTAGGATTATCAGGGAACTTAACAAAAATTTAAATATTGATAGAGCAAAATTAAATATTGATAAAGCAAAAATAATTTTTTTTCAATCTTTTGATAGTTAATAAGTAGAGATCGTTAAGGAAGGGCTGGCACGGAACGGAGCAGGGATGGAATGATTGGGAAAAGAACAACAAGGAACGAAAGACCCAGCCGAAGGCCCTCTAGAATGTGAAACGAAGAATTTTAGACAAATCAAAACATGGCCAGCCCTAAGAAAAAAAAATAAAAAGTCTTGTCTTTCAAACCTGGCACAGTTTAGAATAGTTCCAATACTTGAAACCTTTGTATAGATCTGTTCATCCCAATCTAGCACCTGAAAACATAACAGAGTTACCCTTGAAAAAAATAGAGTTATTCCTTTCAATATAATATGTTATTCTCTTAATAATAACAGGGTAACCCTTGAATAAAAAGGGTAACCCTCGAATATATAATGGGCTACCTGTCGATATTACAGGATTACCCTCAAATAAAACAGGATTACCCTCAAATATTGCATGATAACCTCAAAGATAACAGGGTTACCATTGCATATAACAGGGTTACCCTCAAATATAATTGGGCTACTATGAAATATAACATGCTTACACTAAAATATAACATGGTAACCCTGAAATATAACAGGGTTACTCTCAAATATAATAGGGTTACCCTTAAATATAATAGGGTTACCCTTAAATATAATAGGATTGCCCTTAAATATAATAGGGTTATCCTTAAATATGATAGGGTTACCCTTATATATAATAGGGTTACCCTAAAATATAAGAGGGTTACTCTAAAATATAACAGGGTTACTCTTAAGTATAACAGGGTTACCCTAAAATATAATAGGATTACCCTTAAATATAATAGAGTTACCCTTAAATATAATAGGGTTAACCTAAATTATAACAGGGTTACCCTTAAATACAATAGGGTTACCCCTTAAACAGGGTTCATTCCCTTAATATAACAAGGGTACCCTCAAATATAAAAGGGTTACCCTGAAATATAACACGGTTATTTCCTTGGATATAACAGAGTTACTTTTAATACCGAAACAGAAGAAAGGTTTAATTCATTTCATCATCATAATTGTAAAGTAAATAATATATTCGTAAAAATGCAATCTCCCACCTTTCTTGTATAGAGATAATTAAAGTCCCCACAGGATGCTGCAACTATAATGAGCATTGAGAGAATGAGAAGGAGTATCTGAAGTCGTTGCCATCCCACCCTCGGTCTTAAAACACTTCTATACTCAATACAAATTAAGTTCAAGGGAGTGTATGTATAATGCTAAGTGTACCTCTATCTAACAATTATTTAAAATGCATACCAAACTCGTAACAGTAAACATTTATCTGAGTAACAATGTGAATGATATTGACGTTTTTCTTCTTGAAAAATGATTTATTCTGCCAATGCCCTTCATCAATTTGTCTCTTGTGTATTTTTACATCAGATTTAACCAGTCTTTAGAAAGAAAACCATGAACATATATTATATATAATATATCATATAATATATTATATATTATATATCTTCATCAATTTTTTTCTGAAAATGATTTGAAGAGGATACTTTTGTGATTGTGAATAGGCACTTGAATTAACGAGGTTCTTTGAATATGACCTGTAATAAAACAGTTTAAATAAACTAAAAAACTTTAATTTTGTATTCCTTATAATTTTAATAGGTTCAATATTGGAACATATATCTCTTAAAAATAATTTCATTTTTTTCTTCTTTTTGGACAAAACGTTGAACAAGTTTGCTTTAAGTTTATATATGCATATTGCACACTGAGTAAAAAAAACCGGTGGCCAAATTTGAAGAATTTAAGTCGCGGCTTAAATTTGAGACGCGGCTCAAATATGGTTGGTTCCACTTAAAATTGTATTCAATTTTTTCAGATTTAAGCCGACGCTCAAATGAAACCGGGTTTTGAGACGCGGCTCAACTTCATTAAATTCGGGCACAGGATTATCCATGTTTTCGACCAAATTTTCAAAATTAGTTTATTTCGAATTTTGACATAAAAAATATAAAATGTGATGAAACAAAATTTTAAAATTTTTTTCAACTTTGAAATAAAATCCGTCAAACCAAATTTTGTTTAATAAAAAGGTGAATTGTTGGGAAAATGTTTAAAAAATTAATCAAAAATAGAATGAGATTCAAACAAAAATCCGTACAAAATTTGAAGTGTAAATCTGCAGTAATTATTTTATAAAATTATCAAATAATATTACCTGTGGAACTGTTATAACTTTAAAAACATTTATTAGACAATTTTTAAAAATGATTTAAACTATTTTTCCCTATAAAAGTGGACCCACTGAACTTAGAATCTCAAAATCAAGTTAAAACCATTTCTGTGGTTCTTGCGAGATCCACAACCAAAATTTGAGGCAAATCGGTCAAGCCGTTTAAGAGTTTTGATCGGACATACAAACAGACAAACAGAGATTACAACTTAATGTACATATGGATAAAAACTCTAATTTCCCAATTTCATATATACAGTGATGTAAAATTGTAAACTTTAATATTTCAAACAATTATACCATTTGATCTATACCGATTTATCAAAGGTCTATGCCAACAGATAGCAAAGATATAGGGACTAGAAAATAAGACTTTACGAAAAGTAATCAGTTCTTTCGATGACTAAGAAAAAGATAAAAAAAAAAACAATTACTCGACACTGTTTTCTGGTTACTACTGTATCAAGAATAAAGCCGCAAATTACAATGTAAATTTTTTGAGAATAAAAAAAATATATTCTATGAAATTATTTCCTGAATTGAACAGATGTATGTAAGGTCTGTGCGCCAGCTGAGGGTTGGATTGCTGGCTTCAGTAGAAATACAACCAATAGAAAATCTTAATAAATAGTAAAAAATAAACAATAATGATAATAATGATCATAACAACAATAACAATGATAATACTATACTTCTGGGGCATCTTACTCCAACAGCGGAGTTCTCAGGGAACAGGAATAAAGGGAAAGGAAATCGCGCTGGTCCGGCAAGAGAAAGCCAGTCGCACTGCTTTGCAGACCAGTACAGTAAACTGACACAAACTCTTCTGGTACAGACACACAACATGACTACAGTCAAGGAAATTGTAGAACAATGTCGTCGATTATAATTAAATTTGAATAACGAGTAGTTTATTGAAAACTTTAATGAAATTATATTCTTTGCATGAAAATTTGGCTTTATAGTGTTGACTTAAATATGTAAATAATATATTACATGTATATTAAACATATGTTTAAGTAAACAATTAACAATAAACAAATGTACTCTCCTAGACTGTACAAATCCCGAGATTCTTACGTACTGTATAAACCTACATTACAAACCTTTGGTACAGTCACACTCTTTTGGTACAGAAACACACACATGACGTTTCCGCCCCCTGGGAGTTCTGAGTTAGTAAGTAAGACTTCTACTACTATTTCTTTCAGACTAAACTGCATTTGAGAGTAAAATGCATTTTAAGCCATATATAGAAAGGCATATCAGATTCACAATGGTACCCGCCTCATTATAATTGCATTATGCAGGTTTCTTTATAAAGTGTTTTTAACTGTAGTTTCTCTTTGCAGATCCATGCTTCAGGAGCAATGGAAGAAATTGTCCGAATTAAAGGTGACTATTGTGATTAATGCAGGTTTAAAGGATCGATTTTCTCCTTAAATCCGAACTAGGAATCCTGAAAAGGAGAAAATACAGGAAAAGATATATGTCCTCCTGCATAGTAGTTTATTACCTACAAATATATTGCTAATAAATTTTAGATCTGTCTTGACTAACTTACTTCTAAACACACCACTTTATTTAACTACAGTGATTGTCCCTCGAATAAGAGGAAAACGTACCTGCTATGTAGAGGACTAGGGTTAGCCCATATATTCCAAAATATCCTAAACAAAAATGAACAAGTTTAGAAAACAAGGTCTCAACTATTTATTGTATAGAAAGTAGTTTACTAAGTAAGTTTAATTAAACTAAAATGTGTAATAGGCTCTCGGCCATATTAGAGAAGTAGCTTTCCTTGCAGAAATCCGGAAAACTTAAAAAAAATTTGTATTAATTATCTAGACCGGGTCAACCTTGAAGTGTCGTAACTCCTTGGTTTCATTTACTAACTCAAACATTTTATCAAGTTTTTATCAAATGCCGATTTCTAGCTAAAAATAAAGTAAAAATAAATTTATTTTGGAAAAAAAAGATTTTGAATCAAATATAGAAAATCAAAATTAGCCAAAACAAATAATCTTTACATAATTATTTATAATGTTGATAAAAAGCTGGTTTAACAATGAGAGACAATATTTTTTTACGAGCAAATCAAAATACATATTTGCAATGATGTAACTTCTATATTCTATTATACAAATGCAGTAATCTCTGTTTCTTGAACCCTATCACTGATTTGCCTTAAATCCGTAAAAGGTAATTTTCTTAGTTTGGTTTTAAATTCCAAGTAAGTTGGTCGAATTTTAAAGAGAAAGTTTGTTTCCAGACAAAGCTGGGTTCTACAACTATAGTACCTATATATGAATAAATGTAGGCAGATAGAACGCTTGTTATACTATATGCAGCAGCACCTTCAAGATAAACCAGTATTTCACAAGGATCTGAAATCTTAAAAATCTTTAAGCTGAGAGGGGTTATGTTAAATTATCGATGCCTGGTTGACAATGATGTATTTATTTTTAGAAAGAAACTGATTTAGGTTTAAACTACGTCAGAGTCAGAAAGAGCCAGCCGGCCGGCTTTATGACTAAGACTACGTATAGTTTTTAAAATTACTTTAAAAAGATCTAAAAGAGAAAACTAAACGTCAACACTTTAGTATTTTAAATCTTTCAAAAGTTTGTTTAGCCGGTTCTACTTAACGAAGTTCAGTTTTTACCACAAACACAAATTTTCTAATCCTTATATCTTTGCAAACTGATGGCTTAAACCTTTAATATTTCAAACTTAAAGGTAGTGTTCGCGAAAAATGAAAGAGGTAATAGGCTTATGGCGATAAATCTATTAGGATAAAATTGTTAAAAACGTCTTATATCGAAGAACGTAGCTTCCATACAAATTTGAGGAAGTTGGTACACACAACTTGAATCGTAGAAAAATCAATTTAATATCAAACAAATCATTTAGATATTAAATCCCATAGTCATCGATTAATTTTCGACGCCTTTGTATATACAGTTGATATTTCATAACAATTTTTATTTTGGATTTTTCAAGTTAATATTTCGCTTACAACTTGTTTTTATGACTGGCGCATTCCTGGAAAAAATGAAAAATGTCATCTTTATCAAAATCCTCGAAACAGGAATGAATGGTTTCAAAAGTAACTCTCGGATCATAAGAAGTAAAAGATATTCTGAAATATAAACTTTATACGAATGCGTCAAAAATAATCGCTCTGAATACTTTGTTTTGAATTAAATTGATTTTGTTACGATCTGAGTTCTATGTTGCAACTTTCTCAATATGAGACGTTTTCAACTATTTTCTCCTCATAGACGCAACAGTTAGAAGTATAATTACTAGCGATCAAAAGCAATTTATCGCCGTAAGCCTAGACCCCCTTTCATTTTTCGCGAACACTCCCTTTAAATCATTTATCTGATAGAATTCATAGTTATGAAATATCCAAGGTCTACGACATTTGGTTAATATAAGGATTAGAAAATCAGTGTTTGTGGCAAAGACTCAATTCACTTTTTTGTCCCAGAACACAGCCACCACTAATTTCTTTGAATACTTTTTTTTTATAAATTCATAATTTAGAAATTAAGGTTGTGTAATATGGAACAATATAGAATACTAGAAATTCAAGGCGCTTCGCGCCCTTCTTTCTAGGCTTTTAGGGCGGTTCGCGCCCATCTTCTATTTTGTTTACATTTCAAAACAAAGATGAAAAAAATTTTGCGGATTTTTAAAAAAAAATTTCAAAAATTTAATTTTTTTTACAAAATTAAAAACCTTTAAAACACAAATTTTTAAAATTTCAATCATTCATAAACCTTCCCTGGGGTTCCTAGATGTCCCACAAAAAATTTGGGCCCGATCGGTTCAGCCGTTTTGACGTTTATTGGATACAAACAGACAAACAAACAGACAGACAAACTGACAAGCCAAATTTATATATAGATGGAATATGGAATACACAATATGGAATACTAGGCTTTTAGGGCGCTTCGCGCCCATCTTCTCTTTGTACAGTATAATACAAAAAGAAAAAAAGTTTGCAGAATTCATAATATTTTTTCGCGCATTTTCAAAATTAGACAAAAATAAAAAACCTTTAAACACAAATTTTTAAAATTTTGATCATTTATAAACCTTCCCTGGGGTCACATGAGGTCCCACACAAAATTTGGGACCGATCGGTTCAGCTGTTTTGAAGTTTATTGGATACAAACAAACAGACACCCACCCAGACAAGCTAAATTCATATATAAATAGACTAGGCTTTTAGGGCGCTTCGCGCCCATCTCCTATTTAAAATGTGAACATGTTCTTTTTGTTTACATTTTAAAACAAAGAAGAAAATTTTTTTTCGGATTTAAAAAAAAAATCGCGGATTTTCAAGAATTTAATTTTTTTTACAAAATTAAAAACCTTTCAAACACATTTTTTTCAATTTTTATCATTCATAAACCTTCTTTGTGGTCACGTGATGTCCCACAAAAAATTTGGGCTCGATCGGTTCAACCGTTTTGACGTTTATTGGATACAAACAAACAAACAAACACCCAAACAGACAGACAAGCCAAATTTATATAACTAGCCTTAGAGGGCGCTTCGCGCCCATCTTCTAAATTAATTGTGAACATGTTCTCTTTGTGTACATCGTAAAACAAAACAAAAATAATTCGCGGATTTTCACAAAAAATTTCGTGGATTTTCAAAATTTTCAAAAATTTAATGAAGATCGAATTTTGATGGAGACAAATATTTGAAATTTTGATCATTCATAAACCTTCCCTGGGGTCCCTAGATGTCCCACAAAAAATTTGGGCCCGATCGGTTCAGCCGTTTTGACGTTTATTGGGTACAAACAGACAGACAGACAAACAGACAGACAAGCCAAATTTATATATAGATGGCCTGATAAGTTTTCTCTGGTTATTATTCCTGAAGCATCTAGTATAGATATTCTTGTAGTTCTGCTTACAGCTGAACTTGTATCTGCTGTATAGGAGTAGACACCTAAAACAATTAAAGCATTGTAGAGGATAAAATCCGCAAATCAATTGCGTCGGATCCTGGAACCAGAGGAGACTATGGTTTCCAGCGAAAAGGAAAAATCGTTTAGCGAAAATTTCGCATTTTTCGCGCCCATTTCGCTTCATTTTCGCATTTTGTTCGCTCGCGAAAAATGCAATAATTATCGTTACAATCTGTTTCGCGAAAATTATGAAAAAAAACGCAAATTTTACGAAAAATATTAAATTTTTAAAAACAATTGCAAATTTATAGAAAAAAAATTGTGGAGATTCATCAAAAAAGACTAAATTATGAAATTACAAGACTTGTTTTCAAAGAGGGATTTATCCGCGAGCCCAATTGATGGATTAACACAAAATATAAATATAGGTATAGAACGACTAGGAGACACCAGCCTAAAGATTTTCTTAAAAATACTTTCTCGACCGTTAAGATCTTTCTTCTTAAAACACAAAATATAATCTACTACGGGAAGAACCAAAATAATTCGGAATATTTTAAAGATAGATACGGAGCAATTGGAAAGATTGTTTATATCTATTTTTAACTTTTAATTGCTTTTGCTAACAAACTGTGTGACTTACTCATAATTTTAGAATATTAATTTAAATCATGAAAAGTCTAAAACTTCAACTCGCTACACAAGATAAAATGGAGCGAGGTAGATTAATTATTTTTATTTTTTTTTAAAAACCTTTTTCTTCTCTCTTGTCGACATAAGCCTAAGTAAATTGAATGTAAACAGACCGATAAACCAGTTTAAAGCCACCTAAACCGAGTTCATAATGTATTCCAGAATAAATATAGATTTTTTTAGTTTTTTTTAGTTTTTTTTATCATCGCATTTAAAAAATTTATACTGATCATTATTTAAAAGGTTTTACGTTTGATTATAAATAAACTGGTTGGTTTTGGTAATTTTGATACAAAGAATTAAACATCTGACAACTGGAATACATGTCACGCCTTAAAGTATCATAGTTTAACATTGATAGGATTTTATAGATAGAAAACTAGATTGTCCCCCGAATATACAAAATATATATATATATACCTATAAGAAAGCTAGATTGTCCCCCGAATATTGAATATATTGAACAGAAAAGAATATATTCAGCTCTGGCGCCCCAAAACACCACGTTCATCAAGTAACAAAACTAAATCAAAATAAATTGATTTTATAAAATAATTAATTTTTGTTTGAAGAATTATTTTTTTGTTAAAAATATTTTTTTTGGTTAAGTTTTCTATGTTTAAAGCAAAATAAAAAACTTTCTTCAGTCATTCAAATCATTTTAATTTTCATTTTTTTGGAAAAGAAATTGAGTCTTTGTCACAAACTCAAAGTTTCTAAACCCTATATCTTTGCATCAATTGATGGTTTAACCATTAAATATTTAAACCTAGGATTGTTTTACCTGACAGAAATCATATTTTAAAATATCTAAGGCCTACGAAATTGGGTTGCAAAGATAAAGGGATTAGAAAATCAGAGTTTGTGACAAAGACTCAATTCCTTTGTTTGTTTATCTAATTTTATTTCAATATTGATTGATGTAAAGATTAGAACCTGACCAAGGATGAAACCAAACAGAGAAATTGAAATAATTAATCTTCTTCCTAACCTGAATAAAGTTATATTTATTTAAAGAGATAAACCTTTTGATTGGGATAGCGCTTAGCTCCACCAACTGAACTCAATATTAACAAATTAAAAGGATTTAGGTTTGATTCTAGAGATATAAAGATTTCGAATTGAAAAGTGCTAGCTTTCTGAAAACTTGACAAAGAAATTGAGTCTTTTTCACAAACAATAATTTTGTAATTTATATAAGTATTCAACCTGATGGTGTAGACCTTTGATATCTTAAACTTGAATTAGTTAATTAAACAGAATTCATGTTACCTATCTGACATGGGTCCTAGAATGAGGGTTAAAAAGATGATTGGTATACTTGCTAGAAGAGTGTAATACATACTAAACACAATTAAAATTCAATAATTTAATAAACAAATTTTTATCTTAAAATTTCTATCTTTATTTACATTAATTAAATGAGTATGGTTGCAAAAAAAGCATATTGCATTACATACTCCACAATTGATATCTAAAAAACTTAGTTATCAATCAAATGTTAAAAACATGTTGTAGTATTCAAATCAGAGCTGAGCCGGAATTGGGTTGCTTCCACTTCAAATTTAATTCAATGTTTTAAAGGGAGTTACCGGCTATGTAAGGTAGTTGAACTGAGGACGCAGTGTTGTGGAAAACTTCTTTAGGATTCATTTGAGACATATTTTACTTTTTAAAAGTCCGTAAATCCTGAGTTTGAGCGCAAATTCGACGTTCAAAACTCCTGATTTGGGGATGTGAGGGTGGATACGCTTTCAGAATTAGTTCTTTTTAAATTATTAATTAACGACGACATAAAATGTAAAAATATTCTACAGGGTGTCCCACGAAACATGACAATAGCAAGACGACTTGAAAGTCGTCTTTGGTATTTGAATTTATTTGTGACATTTAGTCTTCTATCTACTTTAACATGGATGAAACAATTATCACATAATTCTCCTAGCCCTGGCATTTCCAAAAAGTTTAAAAAGTGAAATATGTCTCAAATGAATCCTAAAGAAGTTTTCGACAACACTGCACACTCAGTTCAATTACCTTACATAGCCGGTCATTCCCTTTAAGATTTAAGCCGGCGCACAATTAAAACTGTTTTTTGGCGGATTTGAGTTGCGGCTTAAATTCATTAAATTCAGACTTGGAAAGGCATGATACATACTGATTAGGGCTATCAGCGGAAGCAAACTTTCGCGCAAAACTGCACAAATTTGCTTGCGTTTTCCGCTAAAATACGGAATTTGCGCGCAACGATTCCCTAATATTGACACTTTGGTAACAATCTTTAATTTCTAAAATCATATTTTCAAATTTAAGATAACTTTATATAATTTTAATGTTTATCATTGAAAATAGATAGTTTTGAATTAAATCCTTAGTGTGGTAACAGCATGCTGAACCTAAAACAAAAGAGAATTAAGATTAAATTTTAGAAATCGTGTAAATTGGAACTGAGCCATGGGAGCTCTTGCTTTGTGAATATCAGGATCAAATTTTATTTTAATTTTTTTTTTATCTACAGATTAGCTTAATATTAATTCAATAGTAATCCTAACCCATGGAGGAATAAATAAAAGGATTGATCCTCAAATTCAGAGTTTATATACTACTCCAGGATAATCAAACCAAAAGTTCCCAGCTCCGAACGTTTTATCTTATTCTTTGCAACATGCTTTAGTGTTAATCTTTCAAATTTCAAGAATAAACCATTTGACTACGAAATCAGAACCTTTGTGTTGCAAATATCATATCATCCAGGGATAACTTGGATCAAAAGGAATTGAGTTTTTGTCACAAATTCCAATTTTATATTATCAAAATCTCAACAACCAAATGATGCATACCTTTCATATTTCAAACTTACATTGTTTGATCCACCAGAATTCATAGTTTGAAATATCTACGTTCTATAATATTTGGTTTTACAGAAATTGGGATTTAAAAATCCGAGTTTGTGGCAAAGACTCAATTCCTTTAAATCTGCCCACATTAGATACCGAGATCAGGGTTTAATATTAACAATATCCACACAAGATTTAGATATTATAATATTAAAAGTTGTTGAGGGTTTAGATTATTTCCTATTTCCTATTTCCTATCAAACATTTCATATGTAGCAAGAATGCAATGTAAGGAAAGTAATTGCAGTTGCGTATACTCTGCGTACATATTTATACCACTTCTCTCTGGGCGGAATTTGTAAACAAGAATAGATGCCTCAGTGTTTGTTTAGTATCCGAGAAGGTTAAAAGCATTGAATTTTGGTAATTTTGATAATTCACATACTAGTTTCCTTTGAACAGAATATTTCATTGATTATTTATGTGAGAGATGGATCGCATTTCAGGCTTCGACATCCGTCTTGCGTTTACATTACCGCCCAGTGACAGTACACTGCAGTACAAAACATGCGTACACTTCTGAAATAACTTTCCTTGCACTAAATCCTTGATATGCAGTATGCGCGGGCTGGTGACTGGATAAATTTTTTAATTTTCGAATTCTTTAAAATCTTAGAAAATATTAAAATTCTCAACTCTTAATTATATATTCAGATTATGTATTTGCGTTCACTAAAAATGAGATGGAGTAAAAATGAATTAAAAATAATGAAAAATGAATAAATAAATAAATAAATAAATAAATGAATTACCTCGTTTTGAATTGTTTCATATCTAACATTCATCAGGTCACTGCAGATAATTTCACTGCAAAGAAAACAATTAGAGTACAAATAATAGAATAAAAAATCCAAGTTCTGAAAGGAACTTCAGATAAAGATAAAAGAACTATTTAAGTTTTCTCCTCAAAATCAAAATCAACTTTATGTCGTATAAATGAATTCTGTTAGATTAATAGTCAAATTTTTAAATACCAAAGGTTTATATCATCGGGTTACAAAGATAAAGGCATTAGAAAACTGTGGAAGAGGACGATTTTAGGCAAGCAGTTGTCTTCTTATTCCATGGTTTCATGGGTACCACTGTATTACCTGTAGTTTAGATTATTTCTACATATTTTATCAATGAATAAATTCATGTTAATAACACTCTGTAATCCTCCAGCACTGCCAGCTAAAACAGCCACCATTTCTATCCTATAAAATGTACAGGGTTTCCCACAACAGATGAGTTTCAGAGACGACATTACAGAATATATACGGCCTGTTCGCATTTATTTAGGAATTGCCTGTAAATGTAAACATGTTTCTTTCTTTGCCAAATTATTAAAGTACTATTTTTAAGGCAGACCACTTAATTTAATTATAAAATTGTCATATTTCAAGAATTAAGGCCATGGTCGACTTCACAGTGCATTGAATTCCGATAAATAAATCTTGGTTTTGCAGGTAGTTTCTTGAAATTTACTCTTAACAAAGGAATGTAATTTTGAGCTCTCATAAAGATTAGGAGTAATTTGAAAAATGGAAATTTTAACCCCTAAGGGTTGCATTTTAAATTAAAAATGAATATTCTGTTTTGCTTCTTATCAAAACTTGTAATTGTATCATGATAAGGATTCGATTTCAAAATATCAAATTTTAAAAATCTTGATCGGGTAAAACAAAGAAAACAAGGCGACAGAAAAACTACACTTTATAATTATAACAAATCTCTATAGCTAGTCTAATATCGAATAGAAATGGTAGTTAATTTTAACGGGAAAAACACATTTGAAAATAAATAAATTTAAAAAAACTGTATGGTTCTTTTAAACTTGAAATAAAAAAGTTTTTTAATCTTTAAAAAAATCACGAAAATAAAAATGGCAATAAAAAAATATGTATTTCTAACTTACCCAAATAGTTGAAAGTCATTTCTTGATAATTGTATATCTCCCAGATCTCTTGAAATAATTTCCTCCATTTTGAAATATTTTTACTCTTTGTTTATCATTTTAATCTATTGAGGATACCTTAAAAAATGTTATTGAAAATTAGACTCTGAGTTTATTGTTTGTTTAAATGATTATAGAATGGCTTTTACAAAAATAAAACACAATTTGTTACATTCTGCTTTTGAAATAAGATTATTGGGAAATTTTAAACAAAATGTTTTGCGGATTTTTCCAAATTCAAACACAATATGCATGTGTAAAACAATCTAACTTATTAAAACTGTTCAAAACTGTTAAATTTTGTAAATTTTGTCTCAATCTGTATCAAAAATAAAATGAATCATACGACATGAATTTGCCAATTAATATCAATATTTTACAGTACAAACTAGCTTATGAACCCAGGTTTGCTTGTAAACTAATTAACCAAAAAGATAATTAACTCGGACTTTTAAACGATGCCGATTCCGAAAGACACTATGTTATACAGTATGAAGTATTTGTATATTTCTTTGTGAGAATCACTCTCAAATAAAAACTTAACCCTGTTCTCTATTATGATTTCTACACACTGTCAACAGTCAAAATATTCTAAAATTGACGTAATTTCAGGGAAATTCCTATTTTGAAGATTTAAAAATCTATTTTCTTTATATAATAGTGGACATATTTTTATTGATTTTAAATGTTCAATAGAAAAATATCTGCTCTACACAAACACCCCGATTTGCGTAAATATACTACCTGCCCCAAACTGCCTGGCGTAAGCGTAACTTCCTGCATTTTCCCACCCTATATACATCCCATTCTCCCTTCTTCTCCATAATTCAACAAGCCTGCAGGAATGGGAATTACCCAGCTATGCTAGGAAACTAAACTTTCTCTGTAAAATTTTAAGTCCACCAAACTCAAACTAGAACCTGCAAGCACAGAACAATCAAGTTCCCCCAATCAAACTTGAGGCAAATCGGTCATGGGGTTTCTGGGATATGATCGGCATAATGACAAACAAACTGACAAGGAAACAAGCCCTGTAGCTAGCTGAATTAATAAAAAAGTTATTAACTATTTTTTAATTTTTTAAACACCAACCTCCCGTTTGACCGTCCTCAACCCTACCCTAGCATCAAAAAAATATTTTTTAGAAAATTTGTTTACAACTATTATATTGAAAAACTGAAGAAGTTTCAGCATTCTTATGTAAGCCATTTTTAAGCTATTCAGAAAAAAACCACTGGGGGGAGTGGAAACCACCCCCCTCCCCCCCAGACGGGAAAGGGTTAAAATTATGAGGAAAAAATAATTCAAGAGCTATTCCACCTATTTGCTCTATGCACAGATCCATGTATTTTAGCATAAACGTGATCTATCTATTTCTCCCTCTTATATATTTTAAAAAATATTTGCTGGGAATTTTTTTCACGAGATATTCCACCAAACCCTATGTGGCGTAGTTTAGTGTACAACAATTCCCTGCACACAGAGTCATAGGCCTTTGCAATATCGCAGAAAGCCAGAGAGATACATTGTTTCTTCCTCTTGGCCACTCTTAGCGCAGCCAAAATCATTAACACGCAGTCTGTTGTGGAACCAATAAGATTGTGAATAAAAACAATAAAAATAATAATAATAATAATATTCATTTTATGAGTTATATCACCAAATGGGCACGGACTAGAGTGGTAAAAAAGGGGGTATGCTCATTAATATACAATACATTACTGCATCGAGGACTAAGTGGAACAGTTGATTGGATAATTTTTACACTTTTTATCTGCATGTATCTTAAAGCAGAAATCATTGTAAAGCGCATTCTTTGTGACTTTTATTTTAACGGTAAATTTAACCGACCATTTAGATTTACAAACGACAGGTAAACTACCGTGAAATTATGACATGCAATTATAAGGTTTCCTAACACAAAATTTTTACAAAATTGAAGAAAAACTAAAATAATAAAAAAAACCAATTTAAACTATAAAAATTTACTTAGAGTAGAAAAAACAATGTTAATTTGAGCAAATATGAATAATATTCCAACAACTGAAAGCCTATTAAATGGTAAATAGGTAATTATTAATTTACTATCAAAATGGAAACCAAGAATTAAACAAAAATCAGGATCGAAACTACTCATTAATAATGAGAAATGTTTCTACGTCTTTAGATAGAATCGCGTCATTGTGAGATTTTATGTTGATAATATATTTTTTGCAATTTGGCTAAACTTTAAAACAAATTCTTTCTAGAATTTTTGAAGACGACAGCGAAGTTGATAAAGCTCTCAGGGTCTGTATCGAGATCGCTCTGCTCGTCTGATCATTAATAATCTGATACAAGGAACTATATAAGGAACCAGAGAAATTGACACCAGAGATAATCCAACCAGAGGTCTATACCAGACCCAGCCAAACCCTATTATAGCTAAATGTCTTTAGTTAGATTAAACATTTTGCATAATGAAATACAAACCAAATTGTCAAGTGTGGTATTATGGAACCACTAATCTTATGCAATAAAATATGCAACTTAAATTGTTACTTTGATGAGATTTTACTTCAAGTAGTTTTACTTGTCTTATCTATCATCTATGCAACCTGATGACATTGCAGATCGGGTTATTCCTATCACTCGGGCCTAACCCTCATGCGCCGTCTATATCTTTGCAACCTGGCATTACTATACTTCAGCTATCTCCATATGTAGAGTAAGCTTTATATATCTGTGTGCACATGCAATTCTAAACACCCAAGTAATAAAGTCATTCTTACAATATAAGTACATTTATTAATACATTTATAAATGCATATATAAATCACATGAAAGTATTTACGAATACAATAGTTGGCTTTGATCCCTTTCTATTCTTGAGGTTTTTCAGCTTGACGTTTAAGCACTTCATCAGTTAGGTCCCCGATTCTATCGTGCATGACTGTTATAGCTTTCAGTCCCTCAATCAACTTAATATCGTTACTATTGCAGGTGTTCTGGTCAACCCGCTCCTGCATAATCTGGAGCAGATTCCATACCTGATTAAACAGCCTGTTCCTAACCTGTTTTATATCTGAGTCAGGATATTGGCTGTACTCCTGATCCCAAGCTTTCCCTGTGTCCCAAACCTCACCTCAGGGGACAACAGCCTGCTGTTGGGAACGAGTGGCTTCAAGGGTGGAGGATAGAAGATCCATAATATCCTTTCTAAGTTCCTTGTTCTCTGCATCAAGTCTATCTACCTTCTCCAGGATATCTCGTATCTCCTCATCTGCTTCATCATCCTCTGATGTATCCCCCGCTACATTCCTGTCCTCTAAGGCTGGGACAGCGATGATAGGAACGTCTCCACTGACAAGAGGAGTAACATCATCTTGATCAACTACATCTTCATCAGGTTCCCGATCCACATTGTAAGCAGGGTTCCGCTCAATAACAGGAACCCGGTTCGTCTTCTTCTTCTTATATCTCGTCCAGAAAGGTTCTCTCTGTATGCTGTCTGTGCACTGTATATAGCACGGGTCCCAGGACGGTAATGTGCAGGGAGACTTGTGTCTACTCTGCTACGGTCCGGGATGTACTGATCCAATCTGGTCTCTCCGATCTCACATTGTATCTAAGGGACTGTTCACCCTTTTCTGGTTCAGTCCGGAATACAACACAAGCATGCAATTTTGAATTAAATATTTATACATAGATTCCTATCAGGCTTAACATGTTAAATGTATGAAAACAGACCTACTTTCCCCATCATTACTAATATTTATATTCAAGTTAGGATGTTTAGGAGTCATAAATTTTAGAAATATGATACTTTTTGCCGTGAATATGGGGGGGGGGCATGTGATATAGATAAATAATGTGTGGGGATGTGTAGTGAGAGGGGAGGGGTAAGGATGTGTGGGTGGATGAGGGGGGGTAGCAAAGGCACACAAGAAAGCAGATTTACCAACCCTTAATTGTGTTTTCATGGCTATAAGGTAATTAAAGAATAGAATATATAGCGAGGAATTAAAAGAATCTCTAGGTATGAATTTTTTCAGTCCCTTTCAGCCTGAAAGGAAGTTCAAAGTGTACAAATCATGTAAATGTTCACAAATTAAATGCAGTAGAGTACATTAATACAGTATGTTCCCTAGACTATACATTTCAATTTCGAATTTTTTAAACTGTTAAATAAACTTTATAATGAATTAGGTGAATAAAAACATCATTTGATTTATAGTTATAACGGAAAATCATCGTTTGTAAAGTGGAAGGCATAGAGTCTATGTGAAATGATCATTGGTCAATTATGAAACCAGCCTATTTCATAATTTGGTTTTCTTTTAACAATAATTTTAGATTTTCTATAAAATGATATTCCAGGGCCCAACAGGTTATATAGCATAAATATGTGAAGTACACCTGCAGTATGGAAACAGTACAACAAAATGGCCGTTTTACACTTTTTTCTAGTAAATTCATCTCTATATATTCTATTCTCTATGCCTATCGCCCCCTCCTTCTATTCAATTCTCCTTGATGCATATGAACCTGGATATATACGATGGAGATACTTATTCTTTAGTATAAAAAACCTTGATGCATATGAACCTGGTGATACACGCTGGCGACATACAGAGCTCTGGACTATGTACATACATCGCATACATCATTTATAGAATTTTACCCAGGCAACATAGACCCGAGTTGTAGGAATGTTCCGCAGTACTTTAAGTTAAATCCGACACTCTATCGGTGAAAGATAAAATCAATATCACATTCAAATAACCTACTCTGTATATATATTAATATTCAAGTAACAAACTTGTACATGCAACTCTAAACCAAACCCGTACACTTTCTTTGTACAGGAGCACAGCATGGAGGATTTCTACAACAGTACAAACCTAATCCGAATTTTTATCTTTACTTGAATAAAGAATTCCTTCTTAAAGCTGCTTGAAATTATTTATTGTTTGCAAATATTAAATGTTAAAGGGAGTGTTCGCGAAAAATGAAAGGGGGTATAGACTTAATGCGATAAAAAAGCCGATGACTATTGTTTGTAATATCTGAATGATTTGTTGGGAATTAAATTGATTTGTTTACGATCCGAGTTAAATGTTGCATCTTTCCGAATTTGTATGGGCGCTACGTTCTTGGGTATGAAACGTCTTTAACAATTTTCTCCTTACAGACGCAACTGATAGAAGTAAGATTAGTAGCGATCAAAAGCGCTTTTTTATCGCATTAAGCCTATACCCCCTTTCATTTTTCGCGAACACTCCCTTTAAAGAAAACTTTCATGATTTGTTTTTAAAATAGTTTTGATGATATTTCTGTAATAAAATGTGTTGTTAAAGTTGATAATATATATATATATCAATCACAATGTGATTGATAAAGCATTTGTGACTATTCATTGTTTAAAGGTTTTACAGTGAGGTACACAATACACATGAGTTACAACCTACAACAACTACAGGGTGTTCTACTAAACATGACAGTTGGTAAATTGTTTAAAATGTATTTTCCTATAATTTGTTAAGTTGTTTGAGACAAAAAAGAATAATGAAAAATATTATATGGCAGTCTTATTATGATCAAATTGATTTCAAAGTAAAATATATTTGAGTTAAAGATTTATGGCAAACCGTTGGATGTGCTTCTACCTTGTCAAATTACTGGATGGAAATTTTCAATGTTTCTAGTGTTTCAAAAAACTTTTTATTAAAAATCTATTAACTGCTTGAAATTATTTATTGTTTGCAAATATTAAATGTTAAAGGGAGTGTTCGCGAAAAATGAAAGGGGGTATAGACTTAATGCGATAAAAAAGCGCTTTTGATCGCTACTAATTTTACTTCTATCTGTTGCGTCTATAAGGAGAAAATTGTTAAAAACGACTCACACTGAAGAACTAAAAATCTATTAACGTTTCATAACTAATGTAATCCTATTTGTACACTCGGGATTTAACCACCAAAACTTAAGGATGATCATTTTTAGGTAATTTCTTCAAAGTTTGTTTTTAAACGAGGCTATTTCTTATCATTTCAATGAAACGTAATTTGCCAGCTTCTTTATTCAAACTAAGAGCTGGGAGTGAATGTATAGTAGTATCCCGTCTACGGACCAATGACGAAGAATACTTCTAAGGTCGATCCATCCATTTAATATGGTAGTGTACTATACTTTTCATAAGTAATGTACTAATTATTTCAAATAAACTGCAAAAAAGTCCTTAATATCTAATACAGCATATGGAAGAAGATTTTTTAACTGTTCACCCACTGTCATGTTTCGTGGGACACCCTGTATCAGTATAAAAATGCTTTAATGTCTTATTTATTACTCTCGCCTTTTATATCTATTTTTTGATCTATGTCGATTGTAGGTCTTTACATTTTGGTTTGTGTATGTAGTAAATGCCCTACTCCATAAGGTTTTCACTAACCCGTATCTATCCAGGTACAACTCGTCAGCTATCAATTTAAACACGGACACAACCTCAGCTATCAATGTCAAAACGATCGCGAGCTCTTAATCGTTCAATGCCAGACCAATGGGGACGATCTCAGCTCGTATGTTTCAACGAAGACCAACCATCAATGCCAAACCAAACGGCAGTAGTTTAAATGCGGATCCACCGAATTTTTCTCATGGAAATTTGCAATTCATCACTTTCTCTCTCTTGGCGAACAAAAAATATATTTACACTGTTCTGTGGGAGAAAAATGAAGAGTAAGCAATGTTGCTCAGCTGGGATAAATAACTAAAATGAGGGGTATCTCAAATATAGAAATCATAAATGCACGAGATTGTTTTTTAAACTTTCGTCATGATTTAATTACTTGTTTAACTTTAGTTTTCTTATCCCTATATGTTTGCATCCTTATGCTGGAAAGTTGTAAACCATTAAAGGGACTGTACAGGAAAAATGAAAGGGGGTATAGGATAAAACCTGAGAATCTCAGACGTTGAACTATACATATAAGACATCTATCTGATGTTCCTGGATTGAGAAATTGATATAAAATTGTGTCAAAATTATGCAAAAATTCATATATATACAATTTTGTTTAAAAGTAGTAGGTTCAAACATAAGATCATAGTAGGATCATATTCAGCAAATTTGCGAAACCAATCTGAAAACGACTTTATCCCACAGGAGCCTGAGAATCTCAGGTTTGCTCCTATTATATTTTATTCTTATTTTGCATTTTTAATAGATAAAATTGATATTATTACATATAGTCCGTACATAGTCCGTATTACGTCACCGGAACCTCAGCTAATAGCAGTGCAGTATACTGATCACCGTGATACATATATCCCTATATGTTTGCAACCTAATATTGTATATCTTTAACAATTCAAACTTTAACTTTTGGATCATGGCACAATCTAAAGTTTGAAATCAAATCTGATTCTTCAGATCTGTGTATTGCAATGGGAGGAGATCAAATCAATAGGACAGAATGGTATAAATAAATATTGATAAATATCATTAGGAGTTATAATATCGAAGTATAACATGGATATTGATAATAGAAATAGTATAGCGTCATAACCACATTAAATGCACTTTACTGCTTTTATGTTGTCTTCCTATTCTAGTTTTCGTTGAACCATCAGAATTAAAATGTAAAACCTTTATTACAAGTTTGTGAATTTATGTTTGGACTCCAGTGAACGAAAATAAACAAAATGAATTGGAATTAATTAGGGCATTTCCAGGTTGTCGTCTTCCTTTCATGTGCTGGCAATGTTACTAAGACCCTAAGAATTCCGTTCAATAATATCTTTTTTATATGAAACCAAAATTTTAGAAATCTGGAGCAAACTTTTAACGAGTTATAAAATTTTTGCGGATTTCTCGTGTTTGTTCAGCAGGATTATAAGTTATAAAGTTCGACATTTTTCCAGGAAAAACTTTCCCTTGGGTCGTTGTCTCAAGTTTTTTTTTGGCTCGATCGGTTCAGCCGTTTCAAGGAAACCTGTCAAATAATATACATATGTGTCCAGCTAATGTACATAAAAATTAGCCATATTAAAATCAACCAAGAAAAATCCCACTTTAATATAATTAGGTAAAAATACATTGTTCATCTGTAAGATAAAGTTAAAGACAATAAATACGTTAAAGACAGATGTTAATAAAAAAATAATTTTAAGATTATAAAAACTCAATTTCATTCCATTCTCATTGGTTTGAATAAAGGAAGTTTTTATTTTAATGTAGACAAAAATATTAAAATGCCAATTATTTGATTGCTCCCAACAAACTTTTCAAATCTAAATATCTTTACTTCAATATTTCAAACGTTCACCATTTGATTTCACACAAATCAGAGTTTGAAATATCAAAGGTCTACGACACCAGGCTGGAAAAGATGTAGGGATTAAACTGATAAAGAAAAAGGCAAGTTATTAGGTTTTTGAAATTAATTTGCATTATTTACAAAAGCTAAAAAAATGTAGGTTTTATTTTCTTAAATTTTCTTTTTCCTTATATTCCTTTTCACCAGTTTACATGTTTATATTTTTAATAAATAACTATTCACTGGAAATCAACAGAGTGAATTTAAGTTTGCCTTAAGTTGAAATGTTAAGCAATACATTAAGATAGTAATCTTCAAACCTAAATTTATGAAACAATATTAGAAAATTCGTTTTATTTCTTATCAATGGTTCATTTTCTGTTGGTCTATGCAATACTTAAACGGAAAGCCACCTAAATTTTCGTGTCAATCATTACTACAAAATTAATTCATATTTAAAATAAAGGCCCTGCAAGCTATTTGATTATATAATCTAATTTTTCGATTCAGAATAAGAACTCAAATCAAACAATGTGTAAATCAATGTGATAAATATGATTATATGATAAATTGAAAAATCAGCTTCCATTCTTCTTCGTTGGTAAAAAACCGGTTTTCCGACAGATTTCGTAGATTTTCATAAACTCTTGCAGTCACGTGACCGGGCAGTGTACACTGTACAACTTCCCAAGTAACAATTTTGCGGAAAATCCGCGGAAATTCCCAGGAATCTTTCCTGGGAATCCGCGGAAATTCCCAGGAATCTTTCACAGGAAAATCCGGTGAAAATGTCGACAGCTTTTCCCAGGAATTTCTCATAACCCATTCCCAGGAACCAGTTCCGAGGAATTTCTTGTAACCCATTCCGAGGAAATTCTCGTAACTCTATCCAAGGTATTTCTTGTAACCAATTCTAGGGAATTTCTTGTTACCAATTCTTCAGAAAAACCAGTGAACATTTGTAGCAAAAAGGTCTTCAGAACCAATTCCTGGGAATTTCCCGGGAACTATTCCCAAGATTTTCTCAAGAGTTCCTCAGGAATATCTTGAAATATTCACTAACAAAAGTAGTGAATAACTTAATGGTGACCAAGTTTTAAGAATTTCTCAGGAATTTCCGGAGAAGCATTCCAGAGAATTTCTCAGGAATTTCTTGGGGTGAAATTCCGGAGAAATTCCCAGGAATTTCTCGAAACTAATTCTTTTAATAAATTCCCGGAAAAATCCGTAAACATGGTGACAAAGTCATAAGAATTTCTCAGGAATTTCCAGAGAATATTTCTGGAGAAATTCTGAGGAATTTCAAGGGGAAAAATTCCGGAGAATTTCTCAGGAATTTCTCGAAACTGAGTCTCAAAACTGTGATCCCACAAAAATCTCTCATCTTGAGGACAATTCTAGGGAATTTCTCAAGAATTTCCGAGGAATCAGTTACAGGAAATGATTCTCGAGAAATTCCTCGGAAATTCCTTAAAGAAAGTCACCACGGTTGGAGAATCTGGGGAAATTCCTCACTTTTGTTACTTGGGTTAAAACTCAACTCGTTGATTTTCTTCTTCTTTAGCCTTCGCAAAATTATATTCATTAAAAACTTGAAAAGTTTTATATAAGAAAAAAATTTAGCTTTTTAAATAATTTAAAGAAAAAAAATCAAAATGAATTTTGTATGAATATAATTCCGGAAAGGTGTAGGTATTCCGCCACAAACACTCTGAAATAACAAGAAAAGTCAAATCTAATTCTTTAGAGGGACTGTACGCGAAATTTTAAACGACCCTAAATTTAGAAATTCTCAACAATGTCATTAACAACCTTTATGTGAGCAACGGTGGGAAAGATATCAATGTTTTTCCAGCTAAAAAGGTGTTTAATTAAGTTCTTTGTCTCAGACAAAGATACTGTTGTGAATCGGACATAGACCATCTTTAAATGAAAGGTTGCTTAAAATTACTTCCACTGTCCCTTCAAGTTGAAAGAAAATTGATAGTACATTTTGAAAGAAGTTTTAAAATCAAAAAAGGGGTTACCTTAGAACTTTGCTGATACTAGATATTCTGTCAAAATTCAGGTTTTCTCGGTTATCATTGATTGTGTGCCAAACCTGAAAAAAATTATGATTGAAACTACAAATTAAAAAATTTGACAGCAAACAAAAAACCGCTATAATTCAAAAAACTAAAAAACTGGTTCTGCAGAACTTCCGCATCCCATTTAAACCATTTCAATATCTTGTAATATTTTATGAGGAGTATATGTTATACTGTGCTTTCATGGCGATTCGCGACCATCTTCTTTTTCAGTTGTGAACATTGTGAAACAAAAACAAACAAAAAGTTTGCGAATGGATTTTATAATAAAATTTAATGAAAATCAAAGTTTGTAGGGAGGCTAATTTTTGAAAATTCAAAGTATCCATAAACCTTCTATGGGGTCATGTGAGGTGCCAGAAATTTATTTAAAAATAAAATTTCTTTTTTATCTGACTGTTGTATCTTCTTTTTAGCTGATCATACATATATTTTCAGCTCTTCTCTTTTAAAACTATTCAGTTTTATTTCTTTATCAGGCATACCCGTGACCTGACAAGATGATCAGACTCGAGGGTTAAGGGGGAGGGGGGTAGGTGAGGGGCCACATTGGAGGATGGGTTAGGCAATTATTTAGGTGTCAAATTTCTCTGACAAGTTGTGCTGAGGAATGATGATGCAGCTTTTTGCCAGCTATTCTTCATATTTATTATATATTTTCTTACAGGATGGAAAAATAAAAGTAACTGCTAAGCGGGGTTTGAAAATTCTGAGGATCCATTGTCAGAATTCTGCAGTAATAATGACAAATGGGATAAGAAAGGTTAGGCAAGGAGTGGATATTTTTGACAAAATAATTCTTGATTCTTGTAAGTTCATCTCGTACAGTACTTCAGAATACGGCCACGTCAACAGCAATCTTTTCCTTGCAGCAGGCAGAGTATAAACCAGTATCAAAGTGCATGGTGCACAACTTAACAGGATTCTACTTTAGATGTTTCCATTTTCCTTGTTTCTGGCAAGAGGGAGGGGAAAAAGAAGCATTGAGAACCCCTCCTTCTCTGCACTATTATTTTCTTTTTTCCAAGTAGGGTGTATTGCCATGTTTAATTCCACACAGGGTTAGGTTCAGCTAACCAGAGCTAACCAGACTTGTTATTAAGGAGTATATTTGTAGCTGTCAGTAGCAAAATCTGGATCCTCCATTCTGCAAAATCTGGATCCTCCATTTTGCAGTTAATACAGCGTTTAAAGATAAAAGCAGGCCTTTAATGTTATTTGTAGTTCAGTTTTTTTCTTTTTCATTTGTGTGCAGGGGTGTATACGGGGGATATACACCCCTGGCTGAAGTTTCTCTAGTCTACCATTTTTTCTCTCTCACCCTGTATCTCTGAATACTTTTAAAACGCCTAGCATGCCTAGTTGTTGCTTCTCTGAAAGCTATAAGTACAATGTGACAAGCAACGTATATATATAGAAATATGCATCAGGCCTTTCAGGCAACAACACTTCTAATAATAATAAGTTATTTCAACGTTAAATTCCGACATTTATAAAAATACAGAAGGAGAGATGAAGGATTTAAAATAAATAAATTGTTAACTAATGAGTTTTTTTTATATGAAGGCAAAGTTCTTCAGTTAAGATCTTTTGAATTGACAAATGGAATATGATGAGCTAATTTCTTCGGATTAGGTTATTTAAAATTGCGAAATAATTCTCTCACAAAACAATGAGACAGCAGAATAAATCTGCTGGGCATCGCTATGAGGTCTGTTTTAAAACATTTAAAGTTTTAAGACTTGTTTTAAGAAGCTCCACATTAACTTTAGATTTAAGTAAATCATATCTCAATATTGCATGCTAGACAAGTGTGCATTTTTTACATTATGCAACATTTTTAATCTCCCCAAAGATATTACCAAAAAACGATTTTCAAAACAATTATTAAAATCGTTCTTCGTTTTCCATTTTGAAAATAGTTCTTCCTTTTCCATTTTGAAAAATAGTTCTTCCTTTTCCATTTTGAAAAATCGTTTTAGTTAAAATCTGAAATAAATTCACATAATTCACAAAAATCAAACTGATCTAGAATAAATTGTGTAAATAATATATTTCAAAAACTGTATTGACGCAAAATTTCTTCTGGAATCTATTTTGAAATGTGATAAAAACTCACATTTTGTTAAGCACTTTAAACGTAAAAAATTGCTAAATGTCTCAACCGGACCTCAAAACGATTACGATCAGTACAATGTCAGCAACGCATTCCAACATTCACAAATATTTACAAATCAACAACCTTTGTTAAAAAATAAAATAAAACCAAACCTTTGGGAAGGGTGTGCTTATCAGATGAAGAATTGGGACATTCCGCCGCTTGAACGGAATATGGTCGTCTTCAATCCCAGCATTAACAGACTGGTCCTATAAAACCCATTTTTAAAGAAAAATTCTTTTATTTCTAGAAATTTTTGACATTTTGAAGAGACTATAGCGTATTTTCAATTGACCATTTATGCAAAGATCCATAACGATACCCTTAATTTGTTAAAACCTTTGATTTGATCAATAATGTGGAAGATATTTTGTTTTATTCTAAAAGTGTAAACAGAATTATAAACGGTTGTGAAATGGGCATTAGCATCTTTGCATGCGAGGGTTACTGGAAATTACGTTTGCAGTGCCTTTACACATCAAAGTATATTTGAAAATAATCTATATTAATAAGTAATAAGCATTAGTAGATTACCCTAAAAATAGTATTTCCATTGATGAGTCTGTTATTTCGAAGATTTTGCTCAATACTCACTAACCGGTCATACCAATCACCTATACATACAGGGTGTCATAGTTTAGAATGTCTTCTTCAATAATTTGTTAAATTGTGTAATACAAAAAACAATAATAAAAAATAGTATACAGGAGTCATATTATCGTAAAATTAACTTCAAAGAAAATTAGATTTGAGCAAAAGATTTTTAAACGAAATAAATTTCAAATAGCCTTTAATATCTAATACAGTGTATGGAAGACGACATTCAAAAGTAATTACCAACTGTCATGTTTCGTGGGACACCCTGTACAATAATTATGGGGGGGGGGGGTGTCAGTTAAAATGAGTTTTTTCCATAAACCTCTTATTTATGTCAGATAAGGCTTGGCCGCTTAAGATTTTTTTTTTGGGAGAAGACTAAGATGTTCAAATATTATGTTAAGGTTTAGAATTTCGAACGAAAACCCCCTATTTCCTTGAAAACTCCTAAAATAGGATTTTTCAACACGCTACTCTGACTAAATGAAGGTTTTGGCGTGCTACTGGCGCCCCTAAATCTTTTTCTGTATATCTGTTAGAATCTATTTATATATTTAGATTATCCCGAAACTCCTGTACTGTCTTGTGGTTTTGCTATGAAATATATGCTTTTCTTCCGAAATACTTGGTATAACAAAGACGACATCTAAATATATTGCGGGATTACAGGATCCATTCAAGGATAAATATTAAATATATGAACGGGAAAAGTAATTATAAATTGAAATCACTATAAATCAATGCAAGCTACAATTCATAAAAAGTTGTAAATGAAAAGATTATCAGAATATATTCATTTTGTCCATTTTCAACATGAAACAGAAGACAAATATGCATTTTAAGGGGTAATTGTGACAATTAATTAATATATTTTTACATTTTAATGATAATTTTTATTTGTAACTAAAATTCATCCTATATTTTCTAAAAATCTTGGAAATATTACAATTGACCAAATTACCTGTTGACTGCTCCAGCTTTGTGAATTGTGTATCTGCAGTACCAATGAGGTCAAGAAGTACAAACATGTCAATCCTATCATTATGGTTTCCATTTACCCCATCTCTACTGTACTCCTGTAACATATATATAAACTGTTGACACACAAATTAACCTTATAAAACCAAGTAGGTAGTAGTAGTAGTAGTCAAAACTTAATGCACGCACCTCTGACCCTTTGGTAAAAGTAAATTAAACCTTAAGTCTGACCGCGTCAACCTTGTTGCACCGGCTAGTCCTATTGAGTGACTGCCTTATTTACCCAATGTCCGGGCGATACAGTACAAACTGATACCGGAAAGGTTGACCCGGCTCGGAAATTCAAATGTACTACGGCTGCCCGTGAATGGGTTCTGAGCAATGTTTTCCTTATAAAATTTTTTCCAAAATGTACACATTTAATTATTTCCCCATTGTCCTAACCGCAGCACTGAGTACAGCTAAAAAAGCATAAAAGCCGTCTTTCTTTCTAATATTCGGAAAACTATTTACCTGTCCCTCCCATCTAGCAGCAAGGTTTCTAGCACCATATATGGAATCTGTAGAGGTCCACCTAAACATATTTTTGAAAATTCACAGAGATGAGGAAGGGGGGGGGGATCAAGCCACACCCGTAGTGCTTCCTATCCACAATTTACTCACAAACATAGACTTGCGGCAAAGCGCTCACACGTAGCGCGTCCTTGGCCATAACCAAATTGCTTCCTGCAATACGTCTTAATTTTTAGTGCCTAATTGTATCCATAAATGACCAATAAACTCCCATTTAAAATTCGGTGATAGTGATGGGCCAAACCTCTGTAGAGTAAAAAAAGTAGAAGTTAGTTCCACATTTATTGAAAATATATTTCGGTCGGGGTTGACCCTCGTTAGTTCTAACGAAAATAAACATCAAACTCGATAATTTTTTTTTAAAAAATTGTTAAAAACCACAAGAAAATAAACAAACAAAAAAGATTTAAAAACAAAAATTTGCCTGTGAAATGGACATAAGGGAAACGAACTCGGATTATGAGATGGAAAAAGATAACTTGCGAATATTCACTTTAAAAAAAATGTTTTAAGAAAAAGATAACTATCCGGAACGATATTCCGGAACGATCCGTAATTCCGGAACAACGTTCCGGAAATTTCCGTTTTACGGGGAAAAAAATCGTTCCAGAAATCGTTCTGGAATTCCGGTTTTCCGGAACCTTTTCCATAATGGAAATGGAAAAAATTTCCGGATCATTTCCGTACGTAAACCGTAACCCGGAATTCCGGTGGAAACCCTAAGGTGTATTTAAACCTTTTCAAGAATTGGACATAAAAAATACGCTTTTTTAAAAACATACTGAATTACAGTTTACAATTAAATAAAAACTTTTTTCTGTTCATTCCTCTGAGTTCAGTCATTAAATCTCCCATTTGGCAACAATTGATACAAAATAGATTCTTATTACTTTAATACCAGTATTTGATCGCACTTGGGTGAATTTAACCCTTATTTCCGATTTCAGATAATTTTTATGCGAATCCTACACAAAACTGCATTGTTTTCTGCAAAGATTGAACTTATCCTCAATTTCAAAAACATGTTTAAAGAAGATTAACATTGGCCCAAATGTAAGAAATATTGCGGTTAATGAGGAAATTGCAGAACATTCCATTTCTCACCAAGACAATTCACTGTCCTCCTACACAGTGCAAACCAAATTTAAATTAATAACGAATGCATTTTCAGGAAGAAAATGCCTTAGCATCATAACACAATATACCTCCAGGAAAACATTTTGTTGTTAATAGGACTTATTGAGGCATAAAAATATGAAAAATGTTAAAATCACTGGAAAAGAATCGTCTTTACATATGGTCTTTCCTTATATTTATGATTTCCTGCAACTCTAAACTTTTTTTTTCAATGCCGAATTATTTATGAAGCCATAGAAAAATTATAATCACGGTAGAAGACTTAATTTAACCTCAGAATCGTTACATTTAAATAGTTTCAGGTCGTCTTAATAGTGTGGAATGGAAGCTATTTGGGTAAGAGCCAGAATGTTTACTTAAATTACCAAATACAAATATGATAAATAAGTATAGCTGTATATAATAGATGCCATATGACGTCTTCAGAATTTTAAATTAACGATGCATTTCTCTTTAAACTAAAGACATTTTGCCGAAAGCTATTTGGGTGTGGCTAAAGAAGCACTACGGGTGAGCGCTTTACTGCAAGTGGACTGTGGATAGAAAGTGCTACTGGTGTGGCTTGGTTTCCCCCCTCGGAACGGAAAATGTTTGGAAAAATCCACGAATTCTACAAGAAAAACCGGTTTAGTTACTTACTTTGCCTAATAAAACTAAAATTCTGTTATACAATTATCCTAAAATTGAATAAATGATTTTCACGTAAGAATTTTCAAACAAAAATAATCATTTTCAACTCAATTAAGATTTAAACATTTTACCTGAAAATCACGACTAAAACCAAGAAATAAAAATGTAAAAGATCATTGTTGTTCTTTACCTCACAAAGGCTTCCTCACCATCGAAGAATATAAATTGTAATGTAATTTCAGGATTCTAAATAAAGAGAAATATTGAGTTTTGCACGATAAAAAATGTAAAAGAACAATTTTTAAAATCTTTAAAAAATGAAAAACTGGACACCATCAAAGTTTTTCTCATCCTTTTTGACAATTCACTAAAAACTTATTTATTTTCCCCTAAAAATAAATTATTTTCACAAATTCAGTAAAGAACCCTAAAAAAAAATTAAAAGAGGGGGGGGGATACTTAAAGAAAATATACACTCCTGTATGTTTAGTTAGCAGTCTATGTTAACAATAATTTTACTTTTTTTCTTCTTATTATTAGATTACGTCAAAATGGATGGACTCATCGGGTCCAACCTTTTTGCGAGACTTCAAGCCGGGTGGATAAAAAATATCATAATTTGTAAGACTTAGTTGAACTACGAAGACCTTGTTCAACCACTTCCCTTGTGGTCCGGTTAAGAAGATTCGGTTCAAGTAAATGATAAGAATAAAAAATAGAAAATGTTTTTTTTTTAATATCGGGGATCAAGGCTCCCAGAAGGCCTGTTTAAATTTTCTACCTTTAGTTTCTGTAGTTTAAGATCCTGATGCATAGTGTGCGCTAGGTTCAACATTTGTGCACAGGGCACAGCGGAATCTAACAGGGTTTTTTTACATGACATTTCTAATAACCCTCCATTTACCAAGTGGTTTGACCGTTTCAAACCCATAAAAGCGTTGTTGAGTTCAGAATAAATGATCGATTTCCAATGTTTTTTAACTCTACAAATTGAATATTTTCAATCGTAATCAAGTTATCAGAGTAAAACACTTTTCGAGCTAAAAAAGATCCGATATTTTCCACATTGTTGATCATATATGTTAAATGTGAATAGGGTTTAAATAAAGGGAACGGCAGTTTCTTTAAATTAGTATTTGTGCCGGAAAAAAAATTATAAACAAACTTTTGTTTCTAACTGAAAATTGGCCAAAATGGATAAATTTGACCAATGAACAATTCAAAAATAAAGCAAGAAAAGTACAATTAGGTTAAATAAGATAATAAAAAGATAAAATGAGAACAAAAATTAAATTTAGCAATTTTATTTTTGTAAATTTGTCTAGTTAAAAACGAGTTTCCTATTGCTCCGAGGAATCCAACTGGTTTGTTCAATGAATCATAATGACAAGCTATCACCAACCTACAAATATTGCATTGTATTTAAAACGCTCTTAAAACAATTATAGCGAAAGAATTCTTTAAAAATAACTTTTAAAATGTTATTTTATTCTTCATTTTTTGTATAACAGATAAAAAAAAATTCTACACTCTTCAAGATTGTTTTTTTAACATTTCAGAGTAGAAAATAATTTTAAACAGGAGGGAAAGCAATTAACAACAGATAGAGAACACAGTATTTATTTATAAAAGGAGATGAGATTAAACAAAATTGTGAATTTATCCATTGCACTTTTTGTTTAACTCCCAAAATAGTAATTTGCTTTCTCTTAACTATTTCTTGTTTTCTAGTTCTTATAAATTTAACCTAAAGGTGTAAACCTTGGATATTTTATACTTTAATCATTGCAAAGAAATAAAAAAATTCAAATTTCAGTAAAATGTTCAGTCCTTTAATACTAAATATTATCAGTAAAATGTTCAGTCCTTTAATACTAAATATTATTAGTAAAATGTTCAGTCCTTTAATACTAAATATTATTTTTGTGAAATATTAAAAACTAAAATTACAAACCTTCTGGGGGCATCAAGGTCTAAGGTTGCTATCACGTTTGTAAACCTAAGAACACAAGAAAATTATTTTCCAGAAATTAAAAAATGTAAAAGGTTTTAAAAAGTAAAAAAGGCATTTTTGTTAAGTATGAAAATGCGAAAAACATTGAATATCTTATTGTTGGAGAAAAGAATGCAAAAATAAATTATTACTAAATCATATTCCTTTGTAAAGAGCTGGATTAAACATGGACCTGCATGCAAGTTTTTAAATTAGCGGGAGTATGAAGTTTAGAAAGTTTTTAAAATACCGCAAAGTCTGATAATTATTTATTATCCGCGGAGAAAATTATTAAAAAAATTACTTTAATGTTTCAAATGTCATTTAATTAATCGTTACAAATTTCTATTTCACAACAACTTATAGAAAGTATGGTTTAAACCTTTGACTGGTTCATGATGATATAAATAAATCTCCGGCACTTAATCTCGATATACGCCTTTAGGGTACCCTTGTTAATTAAACAGAATCATTTAATTGTTAAGTCACTAGTATTAGCGTCTTAATGCTATTAATATAAACAAAAATAGTTGAATATAAATTCAGTGATAACCAGAAAACTCTGGAATAGGAAGACGGCTTTATATAAATACTTTATAGTTTATTTGATGTGGTTACAAAGCAAATAGTTTTACTAGACACTTACTAAATCTCTAATTAGGTTAAATGGGTCTGTTTACACTGCACAATTACGATGTCCCATGTTTATTGGACTATTTAAAGTCAAAACTTGAGTCTCAATGTCGTCTTTAGAGTTTTCTGCTTAACACTGTAAATCATATACTTACATTTTGTTTCCTTCTGGTGTATCATCGTTGAACCCGGGCTGTTCTACTTTCCATCCAAGACCATTCATTGTATCAACAATATGCTAAATATTCATTGTATCAACAATATGCTAAATATTCATTGTATCAACAATATGCTAAATATTCTTTGTATCAACAATATGCTAAATATTCGATTGTATCAACAATATGCTAAACATTCATTGTATCAACAATATGCTAAATATTCATTGTATAAACAATATGCTAATCATTCATTGCATCATTAATATGCTAAACATTCATTGTATCATCAATATGCTAAATATTCATTGTATCAACAATATACTAAATATTCATTGTATCAACAATATGCTAAAACCTTCATTGCATCATTAATATGCTAAACATTCATTGTATCAACAATATGCTCAACATTATTGAGAGTGCAAGAAACATGAATGCATGATTGTATTATATATAATCATAAAATTAAAAAGAAATCCACGGGAGACGTACAATTAAAAGATTAATTTTACAATAACCTCCCCCTAATCCCTGTTCTTAATAAAGGAGGGATACTATTTATAATCTGTATAATTGTTTGTTTCTATAAATAGTTTTCAGATTCATGTTAATTATGGTACAATGACGTCACATTATGTAATTAAACATCAGGGACTCTGTAAGCATAGTTAGTGCCCCTCTATGCATCAAAACCTTAATGTGATCTATATTGTTGAAGATAATGTCGTTTTTCTGTTTCAAAATTTTTTTTAATTCTAATAATAAGATGTTCATTTACCAACAAAAAAACAGGGGTATATATTAGTTCGGGAAAATTACCCCCCCCACATTCTCCCAAGGAAGAGTAATAATTAAGAAAAAGTATTATTATTAGGAAAAAAATGTTTATTTTTGCGAAGTGCTGATTTAGAATTTTTCCTCTTTTCTAAAAGACTGTGAGTGTAAACAAAATATATTTTAAAGTGAATCTGAATTCAAAGAAGGGCATGTCCGATTCCGAATGGTATCCATACAACCTTTGTCTGAAGAATGAATGAGCTTTTAATGTCTCTTGTTTTTTAAATTTGATTATTTTCGAGTGTTGTTTCCCTCTTAAGTTACTTAGGAATTTTTGCTTGTAGAAACCATGGAGTTATTCATTTCAACAAGATCTATAACTCTTCTTCATTGATAAAGGCAGTGCTAAGGATCAATCCGGATCCGTGGATCCGCATATTTTTGCGGATCCGGATCCAGGAAGCCAAAATCTTGCGGATCCGGATCCAAGGGGTAAAAAAATCAACCAAAAACTGAAGAAAAAAACTTTTTACTCCTAAAACCAAATCTGAACTTTTGAAAAAAAGAGAGATTATAAAAATTTCCTCATTTTTGAATGGTTCATCAAAAAAATAAGCGAAAAAATACAAAAAATTTGAAAATTATTTTTTTGTTAAAGAAATTCAGTAAATCTTAGAGAAATGACCTGGATCCGGATTCGGATCCATTTTTTTCCAGTGCGGAACCAGGCTCCGGATCCGGATCCGAATCAAAATTAAATGAATCCTAAGTACTGTTCATTTATAAAGGTTACCTTTGTTGAATCGGACATGCCGCTGCTCAATGAATTGAACATCACTTTAAACTATGTTTACTGTCCTTTCAACATAAAATCTAAATAATTACCTTTCTAACTTTCTGATGGTTTGGAGTTCCAACAACCCTGGGGATCAGAATCTTATCAAGGTTTCTCACAAAATCAGGATCATTTTCAAGATCTACAAAAATATATTCAATTAATAAATATCTATATAATAAAGCTTTTCGCTCATAATTATATATGTTGGCTTTTGCGTGCCAAAGAGCTGAACCAATTAGTTAAATTTTTTTGAGGGAGCCCATGAGTACCATGGGGGAAACGCTAAATCTTAATTTTTTTTTCAAAAATCGTTTTCTTTAAAATTGGAAATATTTTCTTTTTTCGAAGTTAAAAGGCAACACCAAGCACCTCAAGGTTTCTTACAAAACAGGATTATTCTCTAGATCTACAGAAGTATATATTTCATTAGTAGAAGTACCCGGCGTTGCCCATCGAATTATAAAAAAAAACACGTTGGAAATTAAACTATAATTTTTTAAGCCTCTTGAGGATACCATAAGTTTCCTCAACAAATAGACTGAAATTGAAGTTGTTCAGATAGATTTTTTTCCCCCTGGGTATGTATATTTGAAGAATGGTTTTTGATACTTTATGTGGAAAAATGAAAAATTGTAATAGTCAATTTTTTTACCCTTTTTCATAATTTTCCCACAAAAAATCAAATTTTCCCTCTCTAAAATCATCTTTTTTTCCTGTGAAAAAAGAAAACAAAAACATATTTTTTTTGGTAAAATAAGCTGAGGCCGAAAAATAGACAAAAAATTAAATTGCTTTATAACTTTTTTGATGTTTTTTGTCAGTTTTCGTGTTTTAACTCATTAATATTTAATTAAATCATAATTCGTTAACAAATTCTAATTTAGGCAAAAAATCCAAGAAAATGAGGTTTAACATGTATTTTTTAAATATATTTTTCTTGGGGGGTTTGAGTCATTTCATCGACATTAAATAGTAGGATCGCAGCCGTCTGGACATTTTTTGAATTTCTTTTTGGTCACATTAATTTTGTTGATCTTAATGCACAAACCCCCAGCAGTGGGCTGTTGGCTGATTTAAAAAAAAATCATAAATCGATCATCCCTAATATACACCCCTGTTCATACTTGAAATAATCTTTGTTTTTTTTTGTGTGGCTAATTTGTCTGCAAGACTTTTGTTTATTAAAAAATAATACTTCGCATATTTTTTTGTTTTCATTGTCGGAAAAATTATACTTTTTCCGGCAAATTTTTCCAACCTTTTTAATACTTAAACCCAAAAATGTTCCGAACAATATATACCTGGCCCTAGGATGCTGGACAAAGACTATGAATTAGTTACCTTGAGCAAAGTATTTAAAGTCTGAGTTTGCTGTGATGAGCTTGTTGTTGGTCTGCGTAGACTCTAGGTGGGTATACTAAACAACAGGGATTAAAGGAACCGTACTAGTAATCCATCATGGTCTGCGTAGACTCTAGGTGGGTGTACTAAACAACAGGGATTAAAGGAACTGTACCAGTAATCTATTGGTCTGCGTAGACTCTAGGTGTGTGTACTAAACAACATGGATTAAAGGAACTGTACAAGTAAACTATTGGTCTGCGTAGACTCTAGGTGGGTGTACTGAACAACAGGGATTTAAGGACTGTACTAGTAATATAAAGTGACACGATTTTTAACCAATTTCTAAATCATTGAACTCGGAAGGAAATCAAAGAAAGCAAAAGATCTATAAAAATTAAGATTTTTTACAATTTACCTTTCTATTTTTCCATGACGATGCTCCAGCACATAAAGCAGGACTGTTCAACCCAACTAATAATAAAATAAATTAAAGTAGGATCCGGGTCATAAACAAAAGAAGAATTTTTCAAATATTTTCTTCTATTTTCCGCTTATTTTTATGTTAAACTCTATAATATTTTTAACACTTCAGATTTAGGATTTGAACGCAATTTTTTGTTTTCTCTTACAGTTTTGGGTTGATATTTCGCTCCTTGGATCAGGATTTTAGAACTGCAAGATAGTTTAAAGCACTTAGAAAATTGTAATTAAATTGTAAAAAAAGAATTAAATACTATTCTCAAACACTAAATTCCTAATCTTCATATATGTTCAACATGATATTGTAGATCTATGATATTTCAAATTAGAATCTTGGCAAGATTAAAAATTCAAAGTTAGAAACATCAGGTTACAAATTTGTTTTTCAAAATTAGAATTTGAGATCAGTAATATTTTCTAACTTACTAAGGCAGAGAGCAGTGTTGATGATTGATCCCATAATACTGTTGTTTCTACTCAACGCTCTACTCGTTAAACCTGTAATCTCGGAAAACTAATGTTTCATCTGAAATAAAGATTTTTTAATATATTGTAATGAATTCTGCAGTAGCTGTATCGCTAACTATCTACCTTACTGTGCTATTTATATTTTGTATTTATAATTCTATCTTTAACTTTTGTAACCTGGCCGGTCATACCGGCACGTACAACCATGTTTATAAATAAATCAATTGAATACAGACTCTCGTTCAGCAGAGACGGAATCAGCCTGGGTAGGCTGATTATAAGAGTTAGAGGTGGTTTAGCCATACATCGGTCAGGGTTGACTGATAATTAGAGTTAGAGGCAGTTTAGTCATAAAGATTAAGTGAGGAGAGACGTGCTAGATTAGTGCAATATTTTATCTAATAAACTTATAGTGTAAATTTACGTTAGTAATAAAGTATCATTGTAGATATATTCAAAAATAGACTACTAAATTCTCTTTTTGAAAATTACATTACAATGTGTGTTATAAATCGAATTGCTATTGATGTAAAACTAATTAGATATGTTTTAATATGTTTTGATATTTGTTGTGTACATGTCAGAAAATTACTTTAAACTCTAATTGCTTTATACTTGTACTGTTAATATAATCATCAATTTGTAATTGTAAACTCGTTCTGTACACAGATACATGTATTTTAGCAATAAACTTTCATCTTATCTTTTCTTATAGTTCAAAAGTGTACTCTGCTTGAATTAATCATTTAACAATCATTTGTTGATGTGTTAAAGGAACTGAGAGCGTATTTTCAACCGACCCTACACGGAAAGATGGCAATGCCCAATTCACAACCATACCCTTCAAAGCTTAACCCGGACAGGATTATTTCAAATTTTCAAATTTGTGGGTACTGTACAAAAAAAAGTTACTTCGTATTTCTACTGCAGGAAAACAAAAGAAGTAACGGAAGTAACCACTTATCAAGCTAGGAAAACATATAAGAAGTAACGAAAGTAACCACTTATCAAGCTAGAAAACCGACAATATCTTTAACATTAGTGATCAGAAAAAGAATTTAAGGGTACCGTTGTGAATTACGCTTTATACACTCCCTTTAAGTCTTAAACAACCTTGTTACTAAAAAAAGCTAAATTTCACACTATGAGATTCATTACAGCGAAATAATAAAACATTAGGATAAAAGAAACACTTGTTAAGTCAAAATTTTCGAAATTCATTGCCAAAATTACAGAGTTTTACAAAATCTAGAGATGTAATTTCAAGTACACCTCCAGGAATAAAGTGGCATGTTAGATTGACAACGAAGTATGAATTATGTTATAATCTTTAAGACGGATTATTTTCAAAACTGTCGTTTCTCTGTATCTGGTATCCAGTATCCTGTATCTGGTGTAAAGAACGGAACTAAACTAACTGTAGTGAAGCAAACTTTCACAATATAAATATACTCATTGATAGATAGATACATATATAGATAGATAGATAGATAGATAGATAGACAGACGCCCAGACAGACAAACAGACAGATAGATAGATAGACAGACAGACACCCAGACAGACAAACAGACAGACAGGGTGATAGACATATAGACAGATAGATAGACAAATAGAAACAGATTGATAGATAGAAAGATATATATATAGATAGATAGATAGGTAGAAGGATAGTTAGTTAGATATATAGATAGATAGATATCGATATAGGTAGATATATAGTTAGATAGATAGATAGATAATACATAGATAGATAGATAAATAGATAGGAGATATTTAGGTTAATAAACAGATAGATAGATGCACATGTATAAAGATAATAAGATGGATAAAAATGTAATAAATATAGTAATAATCCACATGTTTTGGAAACCTAAACCTAAATGTATGTAATAAATATCGTAGTAAACCCCATATTTATATTACCTTGTACAATATCTGTAACCTAACTATCCGTCAATATCATTACCAAGTAATACTATTTACTGAAATTATGTTCGATATTGAGTTGTATCTGTACGATACATATTGAGGGATACAAGAGCAATATACCTGGATTGATACAGACTGAGTATTATAGCCTAGAGTCTGCACGAGTTGTATCTTGGAAGACAAATACATATTAAAGAATACACAGTCATATCTGGATTGATACAGACTGAGTATTATTGATCGAACAAGCGAGTTCGAGAGCGAGTTGTATCTGTAGGATACATATTAAGATTACAGAAGGTCATACCTGGATTAGTAGAGACTTAAGAGAAACTATTGGAGTAAGGCATTTGCTACATGTATATATATTACATTGTAAACACCTGACCATAAGATCGAACAGTTTTAACTTTATCTGTACCCTGTGCTCAAATAAAGTTCAGTTAAATATGAACCACTGTTTTATTACGGTTAGAGTAATATTGCTCGGTAGAGACTAAAGAGTTCTATAGCTGTGTGTGTAGATAAATACATACTTAAGAGTATGAGAAGGAGTTGTATCTGGATTGATATACTTAAGACAGAGAGAGCTGTATCTGGATTGATACATACTTAAGAATACAGAGAGAGTTGTATCTGGATTGATACAGACTAAAGTATTATTGGAGAGTATAGAGTTCAAGAGCAAGTTGTATCTGGATTGATGCATACTAAAGTATTATTGGAGAGTAAAGAGTTCGAGAGCGAGTTGTATCTGGATTGATACAGACTTAAGTATTATTGAAGTAAGGCATTTGTACATTTGTAACAAATATTTAAAGTCCATATGGATAGATTATATCTAGTTAGATAGATTGATCGCAGTTTTCATTAAAAGTTACTTCTATATAAATACATTACTTGTCTGTCTGTCTGTTTGTATCCAATAAACGTCAAAACGGCTGAACCGATTTTTTCCCACGTAACCCCAAGGAAGGTTTATGGATGAACAAATTATCAAAAATTTGCCTCTAACAAATTTCGATTTTAGAAAAGTTTGAAAATCGACGAAATTTTTAAATAAAATCCGCAAAAATTTTTGTTTGTTTTTGTTTTACAATGTATAGAAAGAGAAAATGTTTTGAATTGAAATAGAAGATGGGCGCAACCTATTTATAGATATATATTGCTTGTTTGTCTGTTTTTTTTGGATCAGATACACGTCAAAACGGCTGATCCGATCGGACCCAAACATTTTGGGGGACCTAACTTAACTCCAGGGAAGGTTTATAATTTATCCGAATATCAAAAATGTGCCCACAAAAATTCAGATTTCATAAATTTTAAAAATCCACGAAAAATTATTTTTAATTCAACTAATATTTTTTTGTTATTGTTATGTATACAAATAAAGCACTAATTAAAAGTTGAAATAGTAATGAGCGCGAAGCGCCCTGAAAGCCTAATTACAATATTATTTTAACAAGTGCAGAAGATTTACAGTTCAATCACCTGTAAACCTACTAATGCATAAAGCAAATTTTATCAAACTATGCGTGGGGGGGGGGGGAAGGGTGGAAATCATGTGGTTTGTTTTTAAAAAGTATGAACTTCATTATTCGCAATTATTAATTCTTATTACGTCATCGTTAGTGTTTAATATTACACCAATTTTTGCCCCCCCCCCCCTCCCCGGCCCTACAATCAATTTTTTACATGGAAAACACATGGATATAAAAATCGTTCTCTAGGAAAACATCAAAATTCGAAAATCTTGACCAACACTTAAGAGTCAATAAATTACATGAAAAATCAAATTCCAATTAATAATTAGAATTAATCTTCGTGCCAGAAAAATTCTCAAGAACTGACGAGGGTCAACCCAGACCAAAATATAGTTTTTATAAATGTGGAACTAACATCTAGCAGAGGTTTGGTCCATCATCACCGAATTTTAAAAGAAGGGAAACAGTTAGTTTAATTTAATGTACATGAAAGATTCTTAACCGCTTTTTAAGTTATATAAAAACGAGAAGAAACAAACATTTTTAACCTTAAAAACTATAGACCTGGGTTTAGTTGTGCAGCGATAGTCAACTCACGGGTCTGTCCTAGTATACGATTTTTGGACCCCA